AGAAATATCCTCACAGGTAGAGAGAGATAGAAGTCGAGAGGGCGGAGAGAGAGAGAGGGAGAGTGGCCGGAAGTCCGCTTTTGTGTCAGCTGTGTGTGCCTCTCAACAATGCCGTCGAGCCGCGAGCGAAAATCTCTCGTTTAATTAATTTTCAGGAAGTTTGCTCGCGCTTACTCCCACACCTGTCCGCGCCCAGGGAGTTTCGTCTCTCCCATAAAATCAGGAGATGGGTTTAAAAAAAGGTGGACGCAATTCTGATTATGCATCTACTGATGTGAGAAAAAATGGCCTTCGGTGATGCCTCTAATAATGACCAAACTGTTCACTTTTTATGTCTAGGAGATTTGCAGTGATTGACGTTTATATAATAAAAAGGTCTCGGAGGTATCGCATTTCCGTCATCGCTCACACGTATCATTTGCTAAGGTGGTCTTCCAGAAGGAAATGATTAGCAGGTTTATTGTCGATGTCAGGTGGACCACCCCCGAACATTTCTTTCTCTTCGGTGATATTTTCTTTTGGGCCACGACAGGGAGTAAATAAACAGATAAGTGAGAAGGTTAATTTACCTCCCACTTTCACCACCAAGACCACACTTGTGACAACTAGTTGCATCAAATCGGATGTCCACTGTCAACAGCCTTAACATTTACTGAACTGAGAATTCAGTAGTATGGTAGCTTATTTTAGCCTTAACTTCTATTCAGCCTAATTAAAAAATAATTAAGGCCGATGGATAAACTTTTCTCATCCCTTGCTAAAAGACCACTCTTTTTGATTGTAAGTACCAACTAGACCTACCTTCGGTTAAATAAAAAAGCATTTAACACAAACTTTGTCCATTTTTCCGTCCTCCTCCCGACTACCTCCAAAAACTCCACTTTGGGTCAAAAAGTTCAAGGGCCAATGACGTCAAGATAAAACAACTCCCACCTTCTTCCTCCTGCTTGAAACAATGTGCACGCAAGCGGCTGTCATAGTTGACAGTTCCTTGAATCAGGGCGAAAGGTGGAGACCAATTTCAAATTACCTCTAATTAAGATTTTTTGACAAAGATTTCACCAGTTCTTTTGAAGTTGGGTAACTTTAACTATGCATATCGTGTTATTCAACACTCTGCCTGTGCAGTCAAGAGAAATTCTTGAAAAAATGTGGGGAGGTCAAAATAACCTTCCGGTATTGTCATTTGCAGCGGAAAGTGGATACACCCAGCTCGGAGGTCCAACAATCCATCACCATGCTTTCAGGGAACAACTCTCACAAAGCAGCAGTAGTCACGACCACAAAACAAAGACGGAAACGACCACAGTTGAGCAGACGACAAACGAGTCGAAACCGTCTATGGTGGATCGTGTCATATCTTCTCCTCACTCCGAGGCAACCAGCAATGGACAGGAGTCATATTCGACTTCCTCGAATCCTCCACCCAACAACAACAGTAACAACCAACTCAATGAGGTTCGCCCATTTCCTAGATGTTAAACTACTTACACAATGCCACTGTAGTAAACAGTTACAGGACGTTCAAGTTTTAGCACTTCTTTGTTTCAGCATCCTGTACAGCCTTTGGAAACTTATCTCAGCGTCTAACTAACAGGGCTTGTCAGTACGATTAAAATTAACCTTCTGAGGATACAAAGTGTCAATTAGTGTACTCCACTGGCTGTGTTGTGTTAACTGCTCCACAGAGAAGGATAAGTTCGACTCTTGTACGATGGGCAGTGCGCCGTCCACAGGAGTGGCCTCTGTCCTGTGACCTGAGAATCACCGTGGTCGAAATAAGTTAAATGTTTTCGAACTAATTGCCTACTGCGTCTGAGAGACAAAACTGTCCTGTTGTGAAACTGCTACACTTAAAGGCTATCAAAGGCAAGAGTGGAGATCTAAAGGTTGAAGTGTACGTCCACCAATTCTTATCGAATCCATCCATCCATTCTTCCATGCTATTGCTTTCAGCCACTACCCTGGTTAACGATGTGTACTGACCCACGACAAGTGCTACGGATATTAGTACATTATTAGGGCACACACACTTTACTACGGCATCTACTGCAGTCACAGCGTCATGCCTACCTAAACATGGCAATTTCAAGGTCCCGATTTGACTTGAACATCTTTTCCTCTACTTAAGAATATGGGTTTATGTCAAGATAGTTGTAAATTATTCACATCGGTACATTTTTTTTTCATACACCACCTTAAAAGGCCTACAAAGGTCTACATTTTTGTTGATATGTCATGAAAATATTTGACCTGAGGATTGAAAACTCAAGTAGGTAGGGTTAAAGTACATTTCATGTGGTCACATAAATATTTTCCTAATAATGTTGTGATTTTCTTGCTGCATATCTTTTAAATTTGACATCTGATGAAAGGTCTCATTCTACTTTCAATGAATAGGCACCAGATGGGGCACTTAGGTTGAGCTCACCGGCAGGTAACCATCCCACCTTAAATAGCTCCAGTCGTGCAGCAGATCTATGAACATAAGGTGGAAATAAAGACAAGTTTTGAAGAGAGTAAGAAATATACTAGTATTCTTTGTAGATCAAAACCTCTCCACAGATACACTCCTGCGCTAAAAAACTGAATTCGTGGGATTTGTTGAGCAAAACATCAAAGCGTCTTGGTTACAAGGTGTAATCCTCTCTCAATGGGACACAAGCTTGCAGCCACTTCCCCTTTTATAAGAGGCTTTGCCTCCACATGAAAAAAATCTAGGCCCTGCTACTTCCATTTTTATTATACTTTTATAGCTCATCTGTCTACTTGACTTCATCCTTGGTCATGTGATTGGCGAATGTTAGTGTCAAGACAAGGTGTCCGTCATCACTTGGGCAAAATATGAATCAGAGGACTAAACAGACAGTGAGAAAGGAATTCAGGTTGAAGCAACTTTATGGTCTCTCTCGTCTTTTTGGAGAGTTTTTTTTGGAGGAGGAAGAATCACGTGTATTAGAAATGTGAATTTTGAGTGGATCAAGCCCAAGTTAGTCAATCAGTCAGCTAGACGAATGAAAATACACGAGAAGCTTTTATAACGTGTTTGAAGGAGGTGAAGAACACTATGTGTTACCAGTGGTTGAACTCATCTATTCATCTCCTTAATTTCAATCACGACTTTCTCTTCTCAGCTAAGTGTGACCCTCAGTTGACCTTGACACGTCAATCTCCCATTACATTGGTGGCACATGATTCTACCTTAGTAGCTACCATGCGGGATCTTTCCCAAACCCAATCACCTATCTTAAAGTAATTTTATCGACTAAAAGAAAGTAATTTTTAAACTACTTATTTCTGGACGGTAGATTCTGCCATTGTCTATGCCAAGGAAAGCTAGCTTTCGAGGCTTCACAGACGTGCCGCACCACAATCACCTCAAATTACACTCACTAAGTTATCCCAACCGACAATTTAGGATACAAGATGTTAAAGTAAGAGGAAAGTAGAAAGCACTGATAAGATTACCTCACTGATGGATTAATGCCTACCTGCGCCTTGTACACGTCTCTACCGGTTATAACCCCAACCACACAAACTTTTTGGTCACCTGAAATAGGAGGGTGATTTACTATTCGTGTCCAAAAGGTCTGGTGTGGTCTACAAGCATGGACGCGGGGTCACATCGCTTAGATGGTGGGCGAGTCCACGAAGGCAGAAGATTCCGCTTACCTACGAGTATACTGCAATGCTGGATATCAAACTTAGCCATCCGCAAGACAATTTTAACTAAAGTTGTCTCCATAGTTACTTCCTAGTGCTTTTGCTAGGGGGCTACCTCGGGGGACGCTCAATAATCACAACTGTCTCCAGTATGGCAGCAAAAACTTGCACAACTAAGCCTACTCCTACTCTTTGACCTTGAACTTTTTATATCCACTTCATCTTTGTTCATAACCAACCAATCCGTTTAAGGGACGCAGTTTGGTGCGGCTGGTAGTGACCACACATTTGTACTATTTTGAGTGCCCCATATATGCAACTGAATTACCGATTACTAAGCCTGGGCTTCACTTCTGTGCTGGTTAAAAGAACTCCCACGGATTGTTAAAAAGACGAGACATTTGAGCTGTAGGAATTGGAAAAAAATACAGTGTCTACCCTGCAAAGTGGGAGCCAGAGCTCTCAAGACTGCCTGATTACCTTTTCATTTCTTTTGTGTTAATTAGTGCTTCCATGTCTACATGCTTGAAGTGAGACCCAGCAGCAGCAGTAGTAGAAACATCCGCACGCACCCACGCACGTGGTTATCAAGGTGGTAGGATCATTGCTGGTTCCCTTTGCTGCCCCTCCTCCCCCTCTCCACCCTAAGACCATGTCTATCAGTTAGCGGCAAGGGAATTGGAAGCATATGTTGGCGCCACCTAATTGACTTACCTTCCTCCTCCCAACTAGAAGTGTAGGGGTGGGGCAATATGGGCGAGGAGACAAAAAAGATGGCATCACCAGAACCACTTGGCGCCGGTGGAGAGAAATTTTCCCTCCTCTCCTAACTAATCTCCATTAGCACAAGAGACTTCTGTCCACCTTAGACGCCAGGCGAAGATGCTCTGCACTGAACTCTGTACCATTGGTGGCGGTGGCGGTGGCGGTGGTGGGTGCAGTAACTAGCTGACTCCCCACTCGAATACCTACTCAAAATTGCCCACCTAATGAGGCAAGAAAGAGGAGGGGGGCAAATTTATCGCAAGTAGATCGCCAATGTATCTTGCCTTGCCTAAAATGGGAATAGGGAGGAGAAGTACTGTATTGTGAATAAAAATGTGGAGTATAACTTTGTCCTCTTTCATTCCTAAAACCGTTTACTGTAGTAGATTGTACTGGATGAAATTATGGAGCTCCAGTACTTAACCATCAGTACCTTCTCAATCACCTCCCCTCTCTTTCCCTCACGTCTTCCTCCTCTAGGCTACTTCCTAGATCCGAAAGCCAAAAGTAAACTTCTCATTTCATCCAGTTGAGGGGGATTCCTTATCCACCGAAATGCAAGATGAACAAAGACCGTCTTAAGTAATTAATTAATTACTTACACTTTTTAATGCGTATTAATGAGGGACACAGAAATTCCAATGATGGACAGGTGGTGATACGATTTATCACAATTAATCACACCTCTAGAGTCGAGTAGAGAGAGAGAGAGAGAGAGAGAATGAGGATAAATTGCCCTTGTTTGGGGCTAGTTGAAGCTGCTTCTCTACCTCTCCTCTGGTGACGCCCAGTAATGTATCTCCAACCAGCAGCAAGGTGAGGAGAGGGAAGGGGAGGGGAGGAGCAAGGCAGGGACGCAGTTTAAAAATGACCCTAATTGCTTCCGACTGCAGGGGATGGGGCTGGCAGTAATGCCTAGTGTATCCTCCTACACTTGACATAGTAACCCTAGAAAAAGGGAAGGGAAGAAAGAGAGAGAGCGAGTCCATATCCATTAACAACTCAAATTCATTTTATCTTCCAACCTCTGTGTGTGTATGTGTCCGTGTTCGCTCGCATGCGGTTTACCACCCGCGATGATATGCGAATCGCGGATTGGGCTAACTGATGATTTAAGAGAAAACTAAAGTGCTGCAAATTTTAGGCGAGAAAGGGGAGAAAAAGAGAGAGGAGTGGAGTGTGACAATTGCATTTCACACTGTCCTGGTTATTAAACAACAGCATTAACCACTGTGCAAGCTCCATTGGGTTATTTCCACCTCTTCTCTCTCTCTTTCACTACCTCGTTGATTTAATAATTTCGGTGGAGGTACTTTGTGTCACTTAGATTAATATGTTTCCCCAAAACCCACACATTTGTGACTCCCATATTCTTACATTAAGTAAATAGATCAGGAGGACACTAGAACCCATTAATTCACAAAAAAAACAGAAGACGGTCCGCATAAAGCCGTTTCTTAATCTATCTTAGAGGTGTTAGAGGATGTCTACGTGGAAATTCACTTCGGATGTGCAGATTGGCTAACGGACTGTTGACAGACCCTAATGCCTGGAGTCTGCGAAGACGGAAGAGCCCGAGATAGTAAACATCTTCCTGTTATGCAGTTACCCTCTCCTCTTAAGGGTTTTTCGCCAACGACCATAACAACTTGGTCGATGCTTTCAAAAGCAACCACAGACCAAGAACGATTTTACGTCAAGGGAGTAAGACGTTTGACCCCAAAGTCAGTGATGAGTCTCAAGGTGGGACGATGCTTCATATCAGTCGCATCCACAAACCAAACCCACAGGTTAGGGTAGCTCCATGGAGCTAATATCTAACAGTTCCCTCTCCGAGCTTACCCTGGGGACGTTATGACATCCAGAAAGGACTGTGTTGTAATGGTACAGAAGAGCTGATGCGGTGTTAATAGAAATGTCTTGACCTCATGATGGAGACCGTAACATACATTCCGTATCAAGTCGACATTTTCTTCTCAGTCACAGATGTTTAATTGAAGTTCGTTTTTGAATTCAGACTCTAAACACCGATGCAGACAAATCATTGGAAGAAATGAAACAGTCCCAACAGCCGTCGGAATCAACACTAGGTAGGATATACACCGACATTCTGAAACGGACGATTGGTTTGGGCACAAATCAATCAACTGTTCCCAAATTGGAAGCTACTACGAGCAGCAGTGGTGGCTATAATGACTACGAGGATGATAATGTTGGAACAGACGATGAAGATGTGGAAACGTACTCTCGTACACACTTCACCAAGACGCCAGCGAATAACGCTTCCGGCAGCAGTAATGGTGGCTTTGATAGCTACCATGCTCTTGTAGGCTATGAATCACAGAATACCAGTGCTGCCACATCTTGTGTAGCCGCTGTCAACAGTGTTGCCATAGCAGCAGCTGCAGCAGCTGCAGCAGCTGCCGCGGCTTCAGCGAAACAGAAACGCCATCGAACTCGATTCACTCCGGGTCAACTGAACGAGTTGGAAAGGGTGTTTGCAAAAACGCACTATCCAGACATCTTCATGCGGGAGGAGTTGGCGTTACGGATCGGGCTCACGGAGTCGAGAGTTCAGGTGAGTTGCATTTCTACACTATTACAACCTGTGACGCCGTTCAAATGTTATCCAAGGAATTTACTTATGCGATAAAAAGCGATATAAAACAGAATGTGGAGTAAGTGAAGTAAGTAAACTAAGTAAGTTAGAGAATTTTATTTAAAATAGAAAAGATTTGAGTTCAAAGTTCATTTTGTGGAGCCATCCACAAACTACTCCATGGAATCCCATTTGTTTGTGCCAAATTGGAATTGTAAATGCAACAGGACCAAATTAGTTCTCTCTCTCTCCGCACCCCTAATAACCACAACTTAAGTCGGGGTACACTACTCGTCATTATTTTGGATTGCAGTTTTTTGCATTTTTTGATGAAAATGCAAGCCTACAGACAATGAATTCGCAAAGATGGGTGTATATCACGCAAGGGCAATCTCGTGCTCTCCTTTCCGCTCCTGCTCTCACTCCTCCTCCCTCCCCACGCCCCCTATCGCGAGCGTGTGTACGCGAAAGCGACTAGTCGGAGGGGCGGTGGGTAAGAGGGGCCGTGGCGTAGGTGGCGGTGGGAGCGGGGGGGAGAAGGATGAAGCAGCTGATGCCTGCTCATAGGCTGGGCAATTTTGTCCTCAAAGGGGGGCCGGGGGGATGCGAGAGATGTGTGTTCTGTGCGGGTGAGTTCTGTTCACCCCCATGCGCACGTACGTGTGCGTACGCCTTAGGCCAGTGTGATTAGGCGGTATTTTGCTGGCCAAACACAACTTCTCGCTAGATCGCATGCACACACGCACGCACTCCTTGATTTATGCTCAAATGATGTGCGTGTGTGCATGCATGCGTGTGGAAAAGTTCACCTCGATCTCTTTATCCTTCCACCTCCCTCCTCATCCCTATCGTCCCCCACCTGCATTCGCGACCGAAGAGGGAGTGAATATACTCAGCGACGTCTTGCTTAATTGCTGACGCGGGGGGAGGGGGGGGGGCAAAGGAGAACGACATTGTTTTGCAGCAACACCACTAGATATATCCGATTTCAGTTCTTTCCCAACGATTGCGAGTCGTACGTAAAAATTAACCTGATAGGAAACTACTGCCGAGCCGCGACTTCGTTTCATCAAAATCACGGTGCAAATGATTGTTTAACAAGTGCAAAATCAACCTATTGTACACCCACTTAACACAACAGGCAATCACATAGTACCAAACAATATAGCTACTTTGGAACCCCCAAAAATACAATCAAGGGAGGACTTCATTGCACCTGAGCCAATCTGCTCTCAAGTGCCAGCCCTTAATCTGGCAACAATGGTACTTCGTTATTATTTTTTATTTCGTCCACCAAATCAGTTTCTGTAAGCCTCTACTTAGCAGCTGGGCAATCTTAATTAATTTTGACTGTGTAAAGGCACTGTCCCCCAATGCAATGCGCCAACTAAGATTTGCCGATATACTGCTGTTATTAGAAATGACAGAAGACGCCTCCCTTCGTTCCGCTGGCGAAAATGGAAGAAGGTTGTGCATTTACTGGAGAGAGAGGGAGCCACGGTTTTATCACTTTGAGCACCGCCCTTATGGATCAGTGGGTCATTAAAAGACGTTAATGCGGTTTAGGAAAACGTTTAATGGGGAACAGATGGGTATTTAAATAAACTGGTTGAGTTTTCTTGGATTGGTCCCTCTCTTAACAGGAATCTCAATTATGGCTGAAAAAGAAGATTGTTTACCATTAAAATGTAGAAGGAGTGGAAGTGCCATGAAGCCCAGATGATGGTGAAGACCCCGCCTATCTAAATATCTTTACTTTAAAAATCCCCTCTTCTCTTGAGCGTCATCCTTAGCGCATCAACCATAACGAAACGGAAAAAGAGGCATGGCAGAAACTACTTATTTAAGCGGAAGTAGTATGCGCGGTAGAATTTGTCGGGACTCTAAAAAAACGTCTTTTGAAAAGTGTAATATATCAGGGTATCGATAACTCAAAACAATAGGACAAGTAGCTGGATGATATGCTATTTTATGCGTCAACCACTCCTCTTTCTGATACCTGTCTGAATGCACCACTTAAGAAAGGGTTGTCAGCTCCTGTCAACCATATAAGCAGCTGTGTTCAGGACCACACACTGAGCACTTCTTCAAGGTCAACTTCGGATCTCCACAACCCGATTTTGCTGTATCATTGGTCCTTGTGCATAACTCAAGTCGGGGTTTACCGACAGTCAACTCCGATTCGACAACTCCTCTGTAGTCATTCTCTGCAAACCCTGCCATTTACAGGAGACAACTTTCGGCTGTAGTGCTTAGATGCGGTAACCAGCTAACGGATTCGAGTCCACAATTCGAATCATTGCTACTTCAATTTGAAAGGTCCTTTAATTAACGTAGAGGAGACATTGACTGCCATGACAACCAACCCACGGAGGCTGGGGAGCCCTCAAAGTTAAAAATACGAATGAAGTCAGTATCTTTGTTTACAGAAAGAGGAAAAGGAAAGAAGGAACACAGAAAATTTCGAGGATTTCTGCTAAAGGCGGAGAGAGTTGGATGTTTAGTCGAGTCACACCTCTGTCTACAACAGATATGACTGTCCCTTTCCGTCCTGCCTTTACTCCCCAAACCACGGAGTGGCATCGAATTTGCCTCAACCACCTCCTCTGCCTCGAGCTATGCTCGTTTGCCTGACGCGTGAGATGTCATGATACCGCACCCGTGAGTCGCAGAAAATTCAAAGATGCCGCACCCTCACAAGCACAGACGCACATACACACTCAGGAGAGGGATAGTTACACAGACCACATACGAGTGGCCACGCAGCCACTTACACGAGAACAGCTTGTGCACGCCAGAAGCTTGACACCTCAACAAGGCGATTACTCACCGGACACGACAAGGGGGGGCCAAGGCAGGAGGGAAGAGGCGGTGGGCACAAAATGGGACGCTGTTTCGTTGTCCCGCGCAATTTTGAGGGGCTTCAGCATGGCGAATTTCTGTAGGAAAGCACTGGACCGCTCGAAAGTCTGATCGGAAAGTATCAGAAATGATTTGCTTAACTTTTTCATTTTTTTGCATTGACTGAATGAATCCTATTTATGTAGTTATTTAAATTTCTATGAGTAGAAAATATTATGCATGGTAAAGGGTCAGTTTGTGTGCTAGCCTCTAGTAATTTCATCATCAAGGTGGCAAAGAAAAATGGAGTTTATTTTTCTTATGGAGCTTTACTGCTTGCAATTCAGTCAAACCACTTGAGGAGGAATTTTGGTGGTTAGATATCAGAAACTGATTAGGGATAGATGTCACATATATGTGACGCTAGTAGAGAAAGTGCTAATTTGCTACTGAAGTAGTAACTTAACAAAATTCTTTTTTAAAATAGTGTTGAAAATGGAAAAAAACCGTATTAGATAAAGATATTAATTGCCGATGCTACAAGGTTGGCTTATAAGTTGACGTGGCCGGCCCGATCAGTCTGAAATATGTTTTGACACTCCTCCTTTTAATACTAAAATGCCGTTAAGTGATTTCCTCCAAAAAATATTAAATTTTCGAATTTTTCGTCTTAATTCCCATTATCGGATAGATTTTTTCCCTCCATCCATCCAAGGTGCGGAAGCAAGGGGAGGAGGAGGTCAGAGACTGACAGCCATTATTTCCTTCCCCATTGTATCAATGTCGAACGTGCCTGTTAGGTCGTCTAGTTAAGGTGAAGACTCATTTTATTTCATGAGCTAAAATTAATTAAAATTTGCGATTTTCGCTAGCAATATCTCCAACGGCTGGTAGATAATGCTCTAAAGGAGTCCTCAGTGCTCTTACAATGCACCTGTTTATTGGGAAGAATTCGTATTTCCGAAATTTTGAATGGACCAACTTAGCTGGTCGTGACCAATAAAACGACTTTACTGACAGTCTTCCTCCTGTTCATAGCCTTCTGCAAACGCCAGATAGATTGTGCGGTGATTGACTATTACTGTCAGAGGGTATCAAAATCTACTTGGGGTACACCAATCACGTCTACCTTTCAAGATCGTATTTAGATTGTCAAGTGGGACGAAAAATAAGGCAGTTCACCAATACGCTATTCTTTATTCCACTTTAAAACCCATTCCTACACCGTGACATGTCATTTAGGCGCGTCTGCTTGACGAACCGATTGCAACCTTCCAGAAGCTAGCTTCTTGCTGCAATTGGAGGAGGTGTGGCAGCTGAAGGCACCGCTCAGGGCTAGTTTAAAACAAATTGCTGGATCCTGGGGGAAAAACATTTAGAGGAACAGTCTCCAAGCCTCACGGTCTTCACCTCCATCACCTACATTGCTTGCTGACTGAATGACTGACTAAGTGGCATGTGCTGAATAGTGGATTTTGTGCCGATTGTTCACCTAGGCGATCCACTCACTATAGTAGAGGACTTCTTTGTGTGTGTACGTGTGAGTGTGTCTGTGGTGGACTGTAGTGAAAAAATTGCACCCTTCGAACTTCTTGCTGAATGTTTAATGATTACAACTGTAAAGGAGTCAATTGGAAGGAAGCGTTCTTCCTACAGGACAAAGTAAAACCTCATGCTGCCACAGAAAACCCACCCTTGAGAACACCTTGAGGATGAGGGAGAAGGCCGTGCTGCCTCATCTGCAACCTTACCCTCCCTCCTTCCTTGACTAATATTTCCCCGAGTAACCAAAGTGAAAGTGTATTTTATAAAGCCCTTTTGTAATGGTTCATCTTGGCTTCAGACATTCTGGATAAACTTCTTTTTTCCATTGTAAGCCTTCCAGGGATAATAAGTGTAAGTTTACGGGATCTTTGAAAGAAGGGAATGTTGTCGGAAAGGAATGGTTAGGAGTACAGAAAAGTGCTGTGAAATCAGTGACAAGTGACTAATAAGTCGATATTCCTGCCATTTAGGTGTGGTTCCAAAACCGACGAGCCAAGTGGAAGAAACGTAAAAAGACAGGTAGTAATAGTAGCAGCAGTGGTGCTGGTGTCAGTGGTAATACCAATTCCAATGTCAGTTCAGCCTTCAAGACGCCCTCTTTAACAATGAACAGTCTAGCAAGGGGATTGGAATCCGCCCAAAACATTTTCGTGAAGGCCAGTCAACATTCCACAACACCTCCAAGTCTGTCGTTACTCCACGCAGCGTGTAGTAGAGCGGCCGTTCAATTGTCACCCGAACATCTTGGTGTCTACAACCCGCCTCCACCTTCAAATCGCATTTCACCCTACTCAACCGCCTCCATGGCAGGTGGAGGCGGTGGTAGTAGTGTCTATTCGGGTAAGCTCCAAAAGGATACCGATTTTACCAAGATCTTTAGTACTTTTTATCCGCTTTTCCACGTGAATAAATTTTAGTGAGGGCAATTAGTAATGTCATCAATTATGGAACGATTTTAGGCGGCTACTGCATGGAAGACCTGACGCACTCAGCCATGTTTAAGCAAGCAATGCTGACCAATAGCGTTCACTCCGGGGGTGGCAATCCAGCCTCAAGCCAATCACGAGAGGCCTCCCCACCACCACCACCTCAACACCCACACGCCCCCCTGCATCCCTCATGGCCCCCCACCTATCAAAGCTCTCGACCCACTTCAGTTCCCATCTCTGGTACTTTTCAGTCATCCATCCCCGATTCCCTTGTTACCGATGCTCTTATGAACCAATACAGTGGCCTCCTGGCTTCTAGGCGTAATCCGTCTGTGGAGGAACCTCCTATACCTCCACCACCACCTCCCCATCCGCCACCTCCACCACTCCAATCAATGCATTATCAGGAGTACGAGGCACTAAGCAACATTGAGGCGACGATGCAAGATTGCTACCAAGGTCTTTTAGCTCAGCGGAGGCTAGGAGATTTTGAGTTCTGTGAACGAGGACGTCCTCAGTGGGTGGAGGGAGAGGATGGAGAGAGGATTGGTGAGGTGACACCTTTCCCCTTCGTCAGTGGTGCTGATTCTGTTAACGGTGGCGGTGACACTTCAGCTATTCCTAATGCTAATGGAAATAGAGGAACTGGCTATTGTTCGCCTCTTGGTAAGTGAGATGGCAAAATGTGACAAAAAAATACGTTTTCCATGTAATTTTAAGTTGACAGTATGTGCGTTAAGTGTCAGGCAGGTGTTTTACTACCGGACCTAATGTTTGTCCACAGGAATGGCTGCTGTGCCATGTGCCGGGGATGTTCAGAGCCGCCGCAACCGAGATCCTCACTATCAGATGTATTACGGCCGACCTTAGGTTAGGGTTATGGTTAACAAGATACTTCGTTCGTCACCACAGGCTGGTAAATTCAGGCATGCGTACCCAACGCTGCCCTCCACCTCGAGTCGGGACTAGACTAGGCTGATACAAGAGATTCGTGTCGACTATTAGTAGTCGCAATGGGGTGAACGACTGGCTTACAACTGCTGGAATTGTTGCAAGATAGAACTTGAAATCTCGGTTTCATTGAATGTCCACATTTTTCGACCATATCGGCTAGCGTTTTGTTTAATATATTTTGGATTAGTCGAGTACAAGTACTTTATTAACTGACTGTTTTATTTTAGATGAGAAATCTATAGAAGGTCTAACGGTGTCCAACTCGTATTTCTCCGCACGTTCAGCTATCCCCAACCCGTACTCAGAAAATGAGAATCCCTCTACAGAGGATGGCCACAAAAGCTTCGTACTCGATGTTGGTCAACCAAATGACACCTCATGCGCACTAGTTCATTACAATATGTCTCCTCTGTCCAAGAAATCGCGACTGAGTCAGCAAAACGGACTCCGAGCGTAGCCCTCCTCCTGCCTGTAAATAATCTAATAACTTTACTACTGATAATAATTACGTAGGCAGTTTGGTCTCATTGAGGTGAGCGTGGTAAAGCCTTGTTAACACGGTTACTTCCCCTTCCCTAACTGGTGCATTGCTCTGTTTTAGGGGCATAAATACTTTCGGGAACAAGTAGAGGACTACAGTTCCATCGCTTATTCATCCTAATCACTACTGTATAAATGTACATGTACTCCTTCCTTTCTTCCTCCCTTCCTCAATTTTACGCATCTGTCACATGCCTAGTCGTTGTCTCCATTTCGGTATTTACGATAACTAATTTTATTGTTTAAAAACTTGTTTTTATTCCCAGTTCACAATTTGCACATTGTGTGCGTTTCCAGTTTGATTTTTAGGGCAATTTCCTTGTTATTTTAAGTCAAAATGGGGGAGGGGCGACTTTTTCCAAAAGCAATGTATGTTCGGTTCCTTTGGTTCATTCATTTATGTTAGTAAATGCTAGACGATACTCTACGGCAACCACTTTGTTTTTCTTAATCACTTTTAGGAGGAAAAGTTTTTCCTTAAAGCATAATGAGAAAGGGGCTATCAAGTCCTCTTATAGCCCTCTAACTCCACCCAATGAGTAAAAACCGATAGTTTCCAAACGTCAACACCATTTCGACAGTCCCTCTTTAGTGAGTCTTTACAGTTCATCACTCACACAAGATATCCCTCTTCCGTGATAGTTAACGCGTAATCCAATCGAGGAAATAAAAGCCAAGTTCTATTACTACTTCTACATCATCTTTCAAGGTGAATTGAGGTACATAAGAGGGCAGAAACAGGACATTATTAAGAAATAACTGCGGCTGGAACTAGATTTGTTTGCCTTAGAGCGGTTGTTTTATGGATAACCCATGATTTCACCCTTTGCTTTTTGAAGGCCGAAACGTAAAATCGCAAAAGTCATTTTCAATTACCTGTCAGTCAGCAAGCAGTCAAAAACAGCGCGCAGTTGTAACTTGCGTGGATGAAGAGGAAAACTGAAAATTGAGAGTATCGAAAATCTTTTGGTCTTTCATCAGTTTGAGACAATCTCGAGTCCCAGAGAGAAGATTTAACTGACTTTAGTAGACAGCCTAAAATAGAAAAATAGAAACGACAGACGGACGCACACCTTCCTGTGCAGTTGGGTTCTAGAAAGCCATTACATCGAGATGGACCGAAAACCACACGTGCTTTAGGGTCACATGGCCTTGTCGGGTTTTTTACTTTATCACCAAAAGACTCGCCAAATATATGTGTGATCCACCGTGACAAGCTCGATTGTGTAAATACAGATAGCATTCCCACCCTTCTAGTAAACAACGCCAGAATTTGTAAACTTAGTACAGACAGAGACAAACGATTGGAGTAGCCGCCTAGCTTCCACACGCGCCACGTTAGGGCCATGCCTACTATCTTCCAGCGCTACAGCTTGACGTAGGTGATTGACTCATCCAGCCCGCCTATTCCCCGTAGCAGTAGACGAAGACGTATGCGTTGGCAGTTGACTTTCGCCTATACAATCAGGCAATGCTACCGTCACCATGCGGACTGACCGTGTCAAGTAAACAGGCAAGCGAGTGGAGGCTTTAACGTGTTCGACACTAGTGTCATGCACATCCGACAAGCGCATTTTCCTTTCATGTCACATGTCTGTCATTGAGCTTATTAGCTTATGGTAAATACTAGTTAAACTGTCAGTAACAATCTCGGCCGTGGTGTTTACCAAGGTCTCTGCAGCCTAACTTACAGACGCAAAATTCAACAAGAGTAACATCTTCCCGTGGAAAGATTTGCTTCTTCTGGAGCCGCACATTCACGTGCCATACATCCGATACCCAGGCATTGAGATTCAGACAGAGGTTCCACGGGCTTACACAAAACCAACTGCTACAGTTGTGCTAAAGATAATAAAAACGATCACAACTGAGGCCGAGGAACAGAGCATTCCATCACCCTACAGTCAATTTCCTAGAGTCCGGGTGGGCGCCTTCCTACCCGCTAGCAAGACACCTCGTTCATCACTACTAGTACCTTAATAAAATGTCTGAATTAGGATACCTTATTATGTATACTTGTGACAAGATTCACTTCCACCTACTTCTTATATGTAGAAATCCAAAAGTCCCTGTTTGATTTGAACCACGTCATAAATAAGGTAGAGCACTCTGAACATTCAGCTGTAGTCAAGACAATAAATGTAAATAAATAAGCAATGCAACCTTTTTGGGGATTTATGACTGACTGCTCAGAGCTGATCATACTGCTGCCAATAACGCAAGCCCCGGTGAAAGCAAATTTCCATCTACTTATTATCCACTTGGCCATTTCAGTAGCTTATGCATGCAACATAAGGTTAAGTTAAAATTTCGTCGAAATGTCAGCTTGTAATCTAGCGTTGCCTTACCTTAGTAATGTGGATTCAGACGGAGGAACTTATGACCTATTATGCTTAGAGTAAAAGTTGGCGTACCAAGGCAACTTTAAATAATAGAAAGGATGCCTGCATAAATGATGGAGGCATATTTCCTGTTTAGATTATTAATGTTCATCTATATTTATGGCTTCTGGAAAAAATTTTAAGATTAAAACAACAAAATAATAGCAACTTGGCAGTGACTTGACTGAATATTTAGTCACGCGCTCTCTTCCGATTCCACAGTATGGTTCACTGTCTTAGCGGTAATTACGTCTCTTGATCATATCTTTAGCTTTCCGGCACCTCGTTGCATTAATAAAAGGTAGTAGTATCTCAACCTTCGTGTTCTGCAAGAGAGTAATTCACGACTGCAAAGGGGCTGGGAAACGTCTGTCAAATTTATTTCTGTTAAGTTGTATGTATTGCTGCCTTCTCCGGGTCATAGTAGCTCAATTAAACACTTATTAACAGTTAAATAGCATAGAAGTGGGGATATAGTGGTGAAAAGGAAACGAACAACATTAGCTTAGGAAAGCTACTGCAGAATGGGTTACTCCACTACTGAAATATTAAATGCAGTTTTTTGTAGAGTTCCGTCCAATCCTGAGCATTGAAAAGTAAGTCAATTCCTCTCCCTTAAGGTGATCAAAGCTGCGAATACAATGGAGTCGATGAGTCACATTAGCAACGTTGAGATCAAATGGTCTCTTGCCTCTATGACAACTCAATAACAATGGTTTCTGGCTCGTGGGCGGTTTCTGAAACACTGACTAGGTTGTGATGGAGAGGGGAAGGCTAGGGGCAATGCGAATCTATCCATCTGTTCATCCAAGACTCCTCCGATCAACCCAATGTTCGCTAACAAATTGACTTATTATCTCTCTTTTTTGAAGTACCTTTTTATTGCAGCGCCAATTTTTTTACCTGCCAAGACTCCACGAATTTGCGAGATAGCCGATTTATGTGTCATTATTTGGCTTTTGTGCGTAACATTACCTAAAAATATTTGCCTTTTTAACCATAAGCTTCGATTAGGCTATAAAATTCTACAATACCGATCAAATTTTTTCATTTATTTGCTCCTAACTAGCAGGGAAGCAATGTGGCTCGGATTGGCCGATTTTCGGTATTAAAAGACATTTAATGCTTATCAAATCCTTCTATGTGATTCCCAGAAGTTGTGATTATTAGTAAGATGAACTTTTAAATTTGACATTTGTAATTTCAAGCTCTGATGTTGTTAATTGTATGTACCGATAGAGAATTCCATGGGCCAATTACAAACCACGAGGATACAAGAGGCCATTTGATTGGTCGATGCTCTGGGTGCGCGTCATACGAGTGCGTCATCCTGGTGGCATGCGCGCACGTTCATTTTGTTCGTCCGGGAAGCGCGGTGGCGGACCAATTTGTGATCCACCCTGCCTTCCTTCCTGGCTGACTGCCTGACTGACGCAGGGCCGGGTTGGCATCGAGTGCGCATGTGACCTTGAGGGAAGGTAACGCCACGGCAGGAGATAAAAGGCCAGTGATCCACGTGCTCCAGGCATAGTACCCCTCAATAGCACAATATGCGAACGCGAGATTCGCCTCTTCTCCTCCTCCTCCTCCTCCTCCTTGTCGTCGCTATAGTCTTTCTGCTAGCTATCTCGGCCACCTCTCTTCCCTTGAGATCCCCAAAATCCCGTATCAGCACTCAGAAGGCCATTGTAGGTTCTGATTGTTTGATTACTCCTACTCTTTAGTGGTAGATATTGGTTACTTAATTTTTTTTGGCTTTTATTCGAGATTTAACAGATTAAACCATAGTTGTTAAAGTGTACGTTATTTTTAATTTAATTAGAGAATAATTTTGGAATAAATGCCGATGCTTTCGTTTATGTAGCAATGCATCACTATTTATTTATTTCTTTTTATAAAAGACGCGGTAGTCCACTAAATGACGCATTGACATTTACGAGGTGTAAATATGACATATTTTCCTTCATTGGTTATTGCACCCAATTCACGTGGTAATCAAGCTGACATTCAGCAAAACTACTCGAGCCTTCTTCTGTAGCTTGATTGTCGATGCTGAGGGGATCTTGACGGCAGTATTTGCAACTTTTGTTAATTTGCAGCGCCTTTTGCATCGATATGGATATTTGAATCCCCCCAACCGAAAAAGAGTTGCGGATCCTATTAGTGTAGCGAGACGAATATTTCCAAGATATCGGAGTGATGTTTTCGGAATGACCAATCCTAACGCCCTTTACCGCAATGCCTTAAAAGTCTTCCAGAGGCGATATTCCCTCCCCGTCACGGGTAGATTGGATTCATCAACCATGGAACTACTAGCTGCTCCCCGATGCGGAAATCCCGACATCGATCCCGATGAAAGTTTAATCCAATCGGAAGGGAGGCCAAGTCGGGTGAAACGGTACCTCATTGGTGACCCAAAAATGCGATGGACCAAAAAAAAGCTGACATGGCAGTAAGTTGACTGCTTTGATGATAAAATTAATAGGCTTGCGCTTTTTTGGCTCACTTTTAATTGCTCTGGAAACTTTGTACCGATTTGTATGTCTACACAAAGGCCGGCTTTTTTGTTTCATCCATCATCATGGGGCAGTAATTCAATACCATAGCCATTGGTTTTTAAAAAGGTGAGAAAAGCTTCATAGAAGATTCTCTCCACCGTTACCGTCTGCTATTTTTCCAACACGACACAAGGTAGTTGAAAATACTTTGTGCACATAACGTTTTATTTCGAGAAGCAAAGAAATAAAATAACTTGCTCTACCCCAACTGTCTATCCCATTATGCATGTGACTATACGGCTGTCTAATGCCAATGCCAGGAAGAGGGGATAGTCATCTCTTGCAGGAATAGCATCAGGTAGGAGATGTGGAAGATGGGGCAGTCACTCCTACTCTCCCCATTCGAGAGTGTGGTATGTGATCCCCACACGGGTAGGTTATACAATGATATGGAGGATGAGGTCACTCAATGAGCTGTCTTGTGAAAATACAATTCCAAATTCCTCTTTTTTCAACTAAAATCTTCGACGTAATTGTTTGGTCCTCAGCAAACTAACAACTCGGAGTGTTCCCACATTCCAGCTAATGCCGAACACATTCACACGTAACGCCTACGCACACACACAAAGGCAGGTATGATCATGTTTGGAGGGGGCGATGCCTGCCTTAGAAGTGAGATGTGTGGAGTCGGTGAGTGATGAGTGGATCGTTTTAAGATGACCATCAATGATGCGGCAACACAAAAGGCAGTTCTCATGACCGTCAGCTGGTGAGTCAGACGGTCAGCCGGTGAATCAGTGAGTAAACAATGGAAAATGCACGGCACGATTTGTGGCTTAGGTGGAAGAATGAACAGCTACAGGCTGATAGCCTTCCAATGCCACCGAATTGCTTCGGCTCATGACTTCTATAGCTACACTTCACCTGGCTCTGTCCGTTTGATTTGGGCGTAGGAAAATTGTTCGGTCATCATTCACGTCAAGAGCTGCCAAAAGCTGCCCTTGTCATTAGCTCGGACGGTCCTCATTATGCCACTCAGTAGCAAGAGGTGACTATCCCACTGGGAGGAGTTGGCAGACCTCCTCAACGTGAAGCGCCTGTCTTTAAGCTATTTATTACCTGCCAGACCATCTAACTTGGGATATTACTCTCAGCCATCCCATTCTGCACCTCCTCCTAATCCCATACAACGAATTCGACGAGAAGCTGGCTTCTACAACCGTGGAAGCGAGGTGTGCTCGGCTCGTGAAAAAGGACGAACTTGAATCGCGTCCTTTGGATTCAATCAAACTGGTTTAGAAATCAGTGATAGACAGTTGAGAGAACAATAATGGGTGGCGCCTAGGTAGAAGGGCGCATTTTGTCAGTGATAAGTCTCTACCACGGCCTCATTTCAGTGAACTGCACCGAAAATCGAAACCGACAACTCCAGACGCTGTTTATGATCAACAACCCAGTTCTTTGTTGACTTGTTGATTTAGTCAATTTCAAGTCGGTGAAATGTTTGAGGTGGTGAACTGGCATTTACTTTAAAAAGTAGGCTTTGAATTTCCTTCCAGAATCCACAGTTATCCCACCCATCACCTGAATCGCTCGCAGACACATGCTGTCTTTCAGCACGCATTCAATAAGTGGTCCAGCGTGGCTGATCTCGATTTTGTTGAAGAGAAGAACTACTACAAGGACGCGGATATTGTCATTAAATTCGGCTCCCGCCGACACGGCGATTCCATTGCATTCGACGGACCTGGTAAGTTGTTTTTTCCATCTCAAACAAGCGTCCACACGTGCTCCTTGAGGTCATCTACATGAGGCTACTCAAAACGGAAGCTATTGAGCCTGCATTTTAGTCAGGGAGACCTCAGAATGTATTTATTCACTTCAGATTGAGGTACCCTCCTGAATTCGTTTTGTTGTTTGAAGCCCAATTAACCTGTTTAGGACGCGGAATTTGATGCAATCACAGCTCTCAGGACTCCACAGTTGTCTGGGTTTAGAATCACAACTCCAGGTCCGGATATCCTCTCAATAAAGTGATACTTGATTAGCTAAACGAAGACATATTGTTCACCCTAAATTGTTAGGAAATCTGTCTCTGGTGTCGTTAAAGCCCTCGGTTGATTTGCATAGCACATACGCATTTATCAAGGAAAACGATGACCTTGATGACGTAGAGGTGTGTTGAGCCCTGTGGTACCGATACACTATCGGAGTTATTCTTGTATTTTAGGGAAATCAGTATGAAGGGGAGTTTTTGTGCCTATTTTTAGGTGGAGTGCTTGCTCACGCCTTCTATCCCATGCCGGAACCAGTCTATTCCCTCGCCGGTGATGCACATTTTGATGACGAGGAAGAATGGTGGGATGGACCACATCAGGGTGAGTCGAAGCATCCAAAATGCAAAGGGTCGGTGAATGGATGGGACATAGGGTATGCAGTTTGACAGAAGGACTACCAAATAGGTTTAGAACATCATAACTAGGTGGATGAATGCACATGCGTAGCACGAATGGGTGGATCCGTGATGGATAGACGAATCGAGGATGGTCAAGCAGGCACTGAAATGTCTCAAAACGCTTACTCTGTACTTCATTTATTCCAATGCTCCTCTGAAGAAGGCAAATTACTGGGGCTGACTATCACTTGACAACCCATGAGCTAAGCCAAAGTGTGGATAAAGCGATAGTGAAAAGTTCAATTGATGGATCAGATATAGGTGAGTAGGCGGGCCGAAGGACGAATGGGTCGAAGGATAAAAAGAAGAGGTGATAGATAAATGGGGGAACAGATACGGATGGGATGGATCTGAGGTGAAGGAATCGATAATGAAGGAGTAAATAAATGGACAATCCAAAGTTTAACTGGACAGATCTGAAATGGCTGGATTAATAGGCAGCATTTACCATTTCCTTGGCGCCTGCTTCGAGATATTAGTTATTTTGTGGACCATCAAGCATATCACCTTAGTTCCTTGACCACACAGAGTACAGAAACCTGCTCTCCGTGGCAACTCACGAGCTGGGTCACAGCATGGGATTGGGTCACTCCTCTGTCCACACCTCGGTTATGTTCCCCTACTATCTGAGCAAGTGGAAACGAGTGGAACTTGATCAGGACGACATTAATGGCATGCAAAAGATATACGGTGAGTCTACTGCCATGAAAATTCAAACTCAGAAGCTTATTGGAATTTGCATTAATTAAAAACTCATTTTTAGGTGCACCACGGCCAGGCAAAGTTCTTCCTGAAATTCCAGATCTTCCAGATATTCCGTCGATTCGTAAGTTGGGAGTTAGTCCGCCTATTTTGGGAGTAAAATGGGCTGATCAGGAGAAGCTCGGCTTCACAGTTGCAGAAGCCGTCTTCTTGTCAAATTATTTTTATAGCATTAAGAGGAGGTACTACAGTAGAACCCTCCACCTAAAGATAAATGGTTTAGCAGAGGCTTTTCTGGTAATGAATAACTCAAAGATGGGTGTATTACAAGAAGAATCCTTTGAATAGGATAGTGGAAGATTAACGTGTCGGGGAGCCGATGTCAGTGGATTTTAATGTGGACGGCAATGAAACAACTGGATTGCACAGACATTATCTGGGAAGGGGAAGTGATAGCGGAAGCTACTAAGATAGGCAAATGGGTGTCATCCATATTGTATGCATTAAGGGGTGAAAGAGAACAGGGTTATTTCCTGTCTGGCTGGTTGACTAACCGACTGATTAACTTGTGGTGCTGCATTTCAACCTCTGCTAAGCGAACGGATACAACATCATTATTTATTCCAAATTATTCGCTCTAAACAAACCTGTTTACGATGAATTATTTACGTGCTGAAGATCAAAGAGTTACTCAATAACTCCGCGGTGGTGAAGAAAGCCTTTTTGAGAAATCAAGGGTTGATCCTACAATTCGCACTGTCGTAAGACCCACCTTTGAAGACATTTTATACCATACCTTAGGATTACGGGGAGAGGGAGATCCCGTCTCATCTTCTGCATCTTCCACATCCTTAACAACCCCCCGCAAGTAATGATTAGCACCTTTTCTTGGCATTGGCAGACTTTTGACTGTAGACTGCTGAGAAGTAGAAGTGAGACCCAAGCCCATGGCTAGAGCTAGGATGAGGATTGGGACTGGTGTTTTTTATAGCTTCCAGAAACAGAATGTTGTGCGCAAGTGAAAACTGCAGGGTGGTTATACCTCATCGGGAAGGATGACGGGCTGTAATGGCAACAATTTCATCAAAGCATCCCTCACTTATTGACTTTTTCTCTCGAAAACCACTCAGATTTTATTTTGCCACCTTATAATTACCCATAATATCCGCGTTGTTTATGCGTTGTTTGTCCATGTTGACCCCACTAGTCTTGACAGCTGGCATTACCGAATTCTTGGTATGGCATGGATACTTGTTGATGAGCCCATCAACAATGCTCCAGGAATTTGTAGATCGAATCAGGAGGGATCTAGGGAATCATATACTTTAGGGATTTTTTACCATCCACATCTGTATTGTTGAGAAGAAATTAAACCCTGTTGAAAGACAAACCAAGGCTTGTCATTTACCACCGGTGGCTAACTGCAGACTTTTTTCCTTGGACGTAAGACCTAACGTAATAGCTCAATAATCCATTATTCCATTACTAAACTATCCAGCCGTTTTCCAACATTCATGTGTATTTTCAACTTTTTGATCAGATTAGAACTAACATGCTCAAAACTGGCGTCACAAATATGTGACACATGGTCTTAATTAAATAATGCCTTATAAATGGATAGGCTGGCAAATGTGTGGTGTTCTTGAAGTAGTGGATCAAAGCACCATCTTTTTACTGCTTTTGGAAGAAGAAAACTCATGTTGACTTCGGTAGTAAATGGTCCCAAAGCTACTTCATAAGGTGACTTTTGAGAAAATCGTTGACAGAATGATGGTGATAATGATGCTAAGGACTGATTTCGAAGATAAAATAATTTAAAGTCTTATAACCTTCTTACTACCTTTTGAACACAGCTGAGACAACAACAGTGAAACCGGATACGAACAAACAGATTGACTACTGCAACACCAGTGTCGACGCAATAATCGAGGTTCGTGGCTTGGAACTGTACATATTCAAAGGCGAGGTAAGTCTGGAAATTAGGCTTGTCTTTTTTCCCACCCTAAAATCTTACAAAATCTTATTTCTTAAATTACAGTATCAATGGCGTGTCACTTGGTCCAAAACCGTGTCCGACTGGATCTCCTATCAGTTGCGTGACGGACCGACTAAGATTGCCTACTACTGGAACGTTCTACCTCCAGATGTGGACTTTATTGATGCGGCTGTTGAACGTCCAGACTCTTTGATCTACATCTTTCGAGGTAAGACAGCCTATTACTTCCTACTTCAAACTGCGCTAAGGATGCAGTGTTTTAATAGAGCGAATGGTGAATTGACGTCTGGTTCTGGCTTGTCATTTGGCCCAAAGATATATAATTTATTTTCGGATTAAGGCTCCAGCTCACTGCACTAAGGAATTATTTGTTAGGAAAGAATACTATTCCTCTTCTACTTTCTTTTTGGTGAGTCATTTTTGGTACAAAAGCATTTCTAACTCGTGCACTATTAGTCTAAGAGGAGTCAGTAGTGGTTTGAGGGTGTTAACACCTAGACTTGGACGCAGGAATAGTCACTGAATATGATGATTTGAGAAAACCGGATATGTGGAAGTGTAATGGAATGATGGTGGATAAAAATGAGCCCTTGAAGACGTTGGCTAGGCGGATATGGAGAGCAAGAATAAGGCAGTTTGTCACTCCCTCCTCCTACCCTGCCTCGAAGCCTACCTGAAGCACAAAACTTTTCAGAGATCGGATTTATGAATGCTTCGGCGGTGGACTGCAGAAGGAATAGAACACTCGAGGTTGTTGGCTTGTTTGTGCTATTGTGAGGTCATTTGTTGAGTTGTCTTGTAAAAACACCATTCCAACTAGATCCGGCTATTCTGCCTATTTCTTGAGGAGCCTTTCCTGCACATCGTGCAGTTGTGACGGGTGGACCAAATCTCAGACGTAATTGTTTTGTCATCGGCAAGTCAACAGCTTTGGGTGTTTCATTCCTCCTTACAGTCCAATACGCACACATTCACACGCAACGCCGACGCACACACAAACACACACACGCAAGCGCAAGCATAGTCATGTTTGGAGGAGGTGATGGAGTGGGTGGTGAGTGGATTATTTTAAGATGGCCACCAATGATGTGTTGAGATGCGACAATACAAAAGACATTTCTCATGACAAGCCAATCAGTCGACCAATGCGCGTGGGCGACGGTGAATTTCTTCGGCACTTGCTTTCCACAACGGCTCAATCTCCTTCACATTTGACTTGAATGTAAACAGCTTGTTTAACCATCGCCCATGCTGAGAACTACCGAAAGTTACCCTTGCCCTTGACACGTACATCTTCCATTATGTCATTCAGTAGTGAGAGATGATCGCGGCTGCCCTCCTCAACATAAAGCGCCTATCATTGAGTGATTCATCGTCTTCTAAGCCACCTAACTTGGGGCGTTACCCTCGGTCACCTCTTACATCATCTCCTCCCAATGTTGTGCAAAGAATTTGATGAGAAGCTAGCTTCTGTAACTGTGGGATCGAGTTAAACTCGAATCTCAAAGCACACGAGCTTAAAAATACTCATCTTTCATGATTAACCGACCCTTTTGTGACATGAGGGTGGCTCGAAAATAAGAGGCGGACAGTAGGGAGCACAAACAGGGGTATGTCTGCATGCGCTTCATAATTTATGCGCATAATCATTTAGTGTGCGTCACAATTTTCCACCGTAGGTTCCACCAGTGTCTATACATCGGAACTTACTAGATCCATACTAACCATACATCTCAGTTGTTCTTCCTTTGTAGTGAAAAGTAATCTTGCAATCTTCTTTTTTTTTCTTGATTGTATGCACGGGCGTTACCCTCCTCTTTTGGATACACCATCTGGCTCTCTCTAAGGAAACTCTTCCGTTTCACTATAAGGAGATGTCTGGTGAAATTTGGTTAGTTAGTGTGCAGGACTCGATAAGCCTCGCACGGTGGAACTCTTTCAAAAGAGACTTCGCCTCCCTATGGCATCTGGATTTGGCAGCCGAACAATGAAGCCAGAATTACTGGTCACTTTGGATGGACCTATTGAATGCTGTCGCCATTATAACGTAATGTGTTACCCTGGTGATATAATGAGGTATAATAGCACTGGGATAAGTTGGTTATTGGTTCGCAGATTGGTGGGGAGGCAATATGCATGATGTGGAGGTTAAAAATAGCTCAGACGATTACGGTCACACGTAAGCAAATATTAACCCATCATCATACATGCGCGTCATCAACTCCAATCCGTGACTTTCAAGCTACCAAATGTAGCCTAGAACTCTGAATCTCGTTGATGGACACCGTTGGACCTGCAAAATCGGTGTAGACGTGGTTGTAACGTGGGGTCATCTGTTATTCATGCGACGGAGCGTGGAAACGTGACCTTTTCCGTCCTGATGAGGACGGGAATTTACAGCGCCCAAGGAATGCACCAAAATTCGCGGTCCCATATTGCTACCTTCGCATTATGTGACATCCCTGGATGCGGCGAAATGTCAGCTATGGCCTTCTATAGCTTTTTTTTGCACATACAAATAGACGTCCATAGTTTTCAGCTACAGGCTTTTTGTCAATTTCAGTTTTTCTGTATCTAATCAAGCTAATTCTGTTGATATCGAAGAGAAAAGAGGAGTACTTTTATCGGTCACGGTCAAAGTTGCTACTAGTAAATGTTCACTTCAAGTCTTGTTAACGTAAGTGTTTCATGCAACGCCTTTATTTACCATTTTATATATCATTTTTTGTAAATTTTTCACTTGAATCTTAACAACCCCACGCACGTGAAGCATTATCATCATCAGAAAGTTATGTTTTATCTAGATAATAAATTCTGGCTACTGGCGGACAACAAGCGGCTAGCGGGAGGCTGTCCACGCTCCGGTTTGCCCTTGACGAAGTTAGGCCTGCCGGCGAGTTTGAGAAAGGTGGACGCAGTCTTCAAGTGGGACGTAAACCAGGCATTCTACATATTCGCTGGCGATGTGTACTGGCTACTGGATGTGAAAACTCATCCACCTTTCGGGAAAGTTGCCCCCTCACCCGACTATCCACGCCGCATCAAAGACACGTGGCGCGGAATACCGACCCCAGTCACTACTGCATATACTACTCTTAATGGTTAGTAGCGGAAGCAATTGTGTGAGTGGTTTCATATCACGGATCTGGATTTATGGTGGTTTTTTTTGTATTTGCTGTGTTGTGTAGGTGAAACGCTCTTCTTTGACGGATCCCAGTATTACGCATTCGACAATACAGCAATGCAAGCGCGGAGAGGATATCCAAAACCGGCGAAATTAGGCATTATTGGTTGCCAGGACACCTAGGTTAATGAGCACATGCACCCTCATTCACGCACACACATACATAGCGAAAGAGAAAAAGAAAGAGATCCAAGATAGAACAGCTATATTAATAACGCCTACCTCTGCATGTACACGCATTTAGCTATTTCCTGCTTATTTGCCTTACAAGGCGCTCCTACGTATGTACCAGTACTTAGTCAAGTTTCTCCTTTCTATTGCATAATAAAAGGGATCACAATTATGTATGTGCTACTTCTATGCAGCTAAGATATGTGGGATGAGCCCACTTAATTCTACATAAGCCTTTCATTTTGGTTAATCAGGTAAGGGAGGAAGGTATCCTTCTATGACTACAATCAACTAAGGAGTTAGGAATGGGGGACGTTGAGGAAGACTTTCTAACCTTGATAGTAGTGGAAAACACGATTCCATGAATTGATGGGAGGTAAACGTGTCAGAGGCGGGTTTTTGTTGTTTCTAAGGTGAGTTTGGTCAGAACAAATCATTTACACCGGCATCAAATATTAGGAAAAGGGAATCTCATTAGAAGCTAAGATAATCCAATGAGAGACTACAGTGCTGAGAACATGAGGGTTTACTGGGAATAATCAAAGTTTAATAGTCTATGAGTAAATTCTCCGCAAAAAATCGGAAATGAGAAAATGAGGTCACTTTCCTTTACAGTTGTTGGAATCAGCAATAAACAAACCGGTAAACGGTGTGGGATGTATAAGTTTGCTACGATTAGGTCAACATTAACCCCCGCATCTACTGAAATAAAAACTAGTGAATTTAACATCGTGGTAGACAGACGAAAGTGAGCGGTTTGGGGACCGGGTGCATTCAAAGAGTAAAGAAGAACGTCAAATAGTGAGAATGGATTTCAAAAAACCAATTTCGGCAGTGACTAGGGTCTAACATGGTATTTGAGTGATTAACCATCTGCATTCACTTTTCTAGGAGTATCTTGGAAGGAAGAATAGATAATTTATCGATGTAAATGGTCTTATAATGGTTTGCGAAGCACATTTTTAAAGTATGACCAAACAAGTTCCTACAAATTATTTACTTATGTATGTTGATTGTATACACACTTTCTATACTGTGTTCATACAGTTCTAATAACGACTATGTCAGTAAATCTGATGACTGTGGGAGAACAATTGTAAAACGATGGTGGTGGTATCGGTGAGGCGTCACTTTTGTACTTTGAATTAGCCTTCTTGTACCTCGCTGGGTAGGCTAGCCTTCAGGCCATGCCAGTGGCCCAAACACCTCTGTGCTAAATATATATATTCTGCCCGAGTATTGTGTCTTCTTTCGTCTTCAGGAAGTCTCAGGACGCTACATAATTGCCGTTTGCTCTTTTATAATTGTACTTAAAAATAAAAAACTAGTGTTAAAGTACTTATTTTTTGGGGAGGTTTTGCTGCATGCATCAGAATAGACTATTTAGTAAGAGCTTTTCTTGGAACTTTTCATGCCTGATCAAACAAACCTTGTTAACTTTTGGTCCGTATTGTTGCCATTTTTTAATTGTTTCTTTAAACTTTCATTTAAAAAAAGGAGTGACATTTTGTTTTAATCGCCCACATCGATGCATGAGAAAAGGTCATCAGGTGAGAAATAACCAAATGTTAGCCTCGGTGCTTTGGTGTGATGCGTTCTCGTAAATACAGAAGGGATGCTCCAATTCCTATTTTGAGGGTTTTGCGCTATCTTTGCATTATAATAGTCGTGATTCTCGCCTCAAGGCCTCTAACTGAGGACCTAATCATTCGTGCAGTATTCGGACCGGGCCTTAACAAAGCGAATACTACCTACGTTCCTGCGACATTTAACTACATGCGGCCAGGAAAAATATACAATTTTAAAAGGTAAGTCATTTTTATTGTAAAGCAACACTTTACCAAGTAATCGAGGTCAGTGATGGCGCACAACTCACCACAAGCCAAAACACCCCAGTGTGCACATAAGAACGTGAATGAAATCCCACAAGATTAAAGTCATTGCATTACTCCGACCTCCTCACTCGTCTGTAGAAATAAATTTAGTCCTTTGCACCTCTCTTTTTTGTACACGAAAAGACACGTTGATAAAAAAGGATTTATTTTTTGATGAGAAAAGGCTGAATTTCCGTCCAGTAACGAACGTAAAAAATGCCACGCGGTTGTTAGTTGGATGTAAATGCTAATCGAGCAAGCGTGAGAAAAGAGGAAGAAGCTTTAAGAATGATTCTTCTCCAACTTGATTACTTTAGAGAGGAATGGAAAGCACGGTCACCGAGCGCACGCACACAGGTTGTTGCAAAAGCAAATTTAAGGATGGCAGGGGAAAAATTCACACATTTGCTAGAGCTAATCAGTTACATTTCATTTTGATCAAGTGAGGAGAGGGAGAGATAGAGATTGCTGTACAATGTGGTTTGAGGATATCAGCACATCACATGTTGTAGGAGACGTAGATGGGATCGAGTTCATCGTTTACAAAGTTGTCTCGCAGCAGAATTCGTTGCTTTTCTCCGTAGAAATCCACCCGCACTGTATCACGGTCCACCACCACCACCACCCCCACAATCAGCTGATGCTCGCGCAGCACACTTGCTGTGATTGGGTGAACCAGGTCTAGAGCCTCAGATTCCTCGCCCAGGAGTTCGACTACGACGACTAGCAGATCAGACCATGTGAAGACGGCGCTGAGGAACAAGAACAGAAACAAGGTCTAGAAAATCTATTATGCTTTAATTAGGCTCCAAACATCAAAAGGAAACAAGGTATTTAGCAGGATTTTAGTCAGAGATTAAGTCCATCTGCTTCTTTGTAAAGAATTAATTACATCCATTACATCTACTTACACTTATTTTGCACGTGTTAAATTGGAGGACATCATGAAGATGCAAGGAGTAGGGTGTAGTAGGCATCCCTATACAACTCATAAAAGTCTAATCGGTCCAATCCAGACACAGACGGTATTAACATTGAATGTAAATGAAAAACAGGCGAAAATTCAGATATGGAGCTGTAGATGGACATCTGAGTAATGTAAACGGATCTGGTGGTTCCATTTCCTACCCACAGCTTCGACAGCCACTCCAGTGAACGTCCTCTCAGTAATTTAAAAGCCGGATCAGTACATAACTTGTTGTGAAATTACACTGAACACATCTTTCTACGGAAATGGTGAACATGACACAGTTACGGATACAAATTAGCGTAAGCTAGACACTAAGGCAGCCAGTTTATCCCAGGATGGTTCAACCGTTCTGATGAACCCGTCCATTCCAAAGCTACCTTCCAGGTATTAGCTGAACACCATGTGCATAGGTTTGGCAAGTAATTCTGTTGGAGAAAAACGTAGTTTATACTCCTTCACTCGGGCTATTTTCTCTTGTAAACTCCGAAGATCTGTTTTAACTTAAATACACCTCGGAGAAGGTAGAATACGACTGTGATTCAGCCATTCCTTGAAAACTAACAACAGATGGAATGACGCTTTCCAGATCCAAAACATTCGAATACCTTTTTATTATCCAAAGCTCACCCAATCTGCTAACAACATGACCTGGAGAAACTAGTCATTTTAAATTGGTAATGAACACGACACATATCTGGGACGCCTGGTTCGGATAAGAAAATCAGGCCATCACATACATGGGGCGCTGGCAGTGCGAGCAGTGATGCACATTAGCAAATGTAACTTTTCAAATCTACCGATGAAGTGAAGTGAGTACAGTAAAGTGTAGATTGAGTTAAAAAGTAGGCTACAAACTACGATTCAAGGGCTTACCATTCATTGATCTTTCTGTGGGAACGCAACACAGTATTCTCAACATCCATGGGGTAGAAGCGCATTCCACGAAGCATCATGCTTTCCGTCAGGCTTCCGACAACGAACACCGCATCATGAAGGGCTGTAAGAGGCGAAAATGGGAGAGAGAGAGAGGGAGGAGTAGAAAATTTAGTGGGCTGTGATACACCTTTTGTGAAATAAGTAACAGTTGCAGAACATGACGAAAATATCAATTTTGACGCAAACTGAAAGACGATGGTTGTAGCAATTCGAAACCCACAAGACACGAATTAACGGAAGTGACGGTACTTCAATAAGAATGGCGGACGACAAAGGTTTCATTTAAATTAACACATTTGCTATCTGCACCCCGACTGCCTACCCCAAATGCACTCGTCACATATACGTGACGTGACCTCTGTCAGTTAATACCAAGCACTGCTAGATCATGGTGGTCAATTTTCCTCAGAATCGGGATACCAACATGTTAATTGATCGAGCTTGGTAAATCCAAAAAGATAAACCTAGTTGGAGGCTGCGTACACTAAATATCATTAAATAAACATCGGAGCGGTTACCTCTCGAACCCAACAACTACCAGGATTTGACCTCCACATTTTAAATGCTTTGTAACCCTAACAGTGACATCAGTTGCCATTAATTTGACCTTTGCTGTCTTGTTTCCAACTCAATTCATCTGCTCACGCCAAAAACCGGTGCAACCAGTGCTTATCATAAGCTGGTTAGGGACGTGTCGCGTGTGTGACGTGCAGGCTCAGATAAGAAACTTTAGGCCATCACGTATGACTCTGGTGGAGAACATGGTAAAAAATCTTACTAAAGCAAATGCCATCGTACCTCCATCAGACTGAGTCAATTCCGTTCTTCGAACAAAGCCCAAGAAACCGGTTCGAGCATAGACACGGTCGGTGACCCCAGCGACGAAGCGGGTTCTCAAGGGGTCCATAGGTGCATTTTCATAGGCAGCGGAGGTGGAGGCCACAGCAGCGGAGGAGGTGGTGCTTGACAACTCCGTACGCACGGTCGAGGTGGCGTGTGTTGGTGGAGTGGTATTGATGTTGAAGGGACCGAGGAGGCGAGTGGAGTTGTGTGGTGAGGAGACCCAAATCTCGCCCAGATGCGAGTCCGCGCACTGGCCCAGAGTGTCCGGATTCGCTATGGCCACATGCACACCAGGCAGGAGCTGCAGATGGGCATGGGGGGAAAAGATGGTGAGACTTGTTTTCTATTCTGCTGCAAATCGATTTGCATGTTATTTATGCCCCAGCTCTCCAGCATGCGGATAATAAATAGGCTTGGAGGTTGGTGTATCTAATGAGACCTTCAGGGATAACTCGGACCCTGCTATGCTGACAGGAGCAGTAAACCGGATTTCGTTGGCTGAATTTCACTTCTAAATATCATGGGGGGAAGGCATCTGATAGGGGTAGCCGAATCTACACTCACAAAAACTTGGACGATCACCTCTAATTTGAATTTTTACTATGGCTGCTATTGAAGCGTACGCCGAGGTGGTCATGACAGGTTTGGTGCTTAGCTCAGGTAATAAAGTAGAACGTCACACACACACACACACATGTGACGTTGGAAGTGAAAGTGTTAATGCGCTAGCGTCAACACCAATCACGATATTTAATTGTTGCTTTTCATGAAAGTCATTCTTCCGTTTCCCTACCTTGTGCCAATCTGAAAAACGCCTGTACACATTCTTTATGCTGCGTTTCAACAGTACTGCAGTTTACAACCACCCTCTTCTACCTACATGTAATTGTAAGGCAAGCAAGCCGAAGGAATGGGGGTTGATGGTCTTATTACAGAAAAAAATCATTTTTCACCGACATGGCCTTTTACTCAACAGACTTGCATCGGCCTGAAGTTTGATGGGTAATAAACCCTCACCACCTACAAACAAACGCCTAGAGACACTAAAAGCACATAGGCTGCTCGCATTCCAAAGTATGAACTGACATTCTTAGATCTACCGCTTCCGCCTTGACGATTAGTGATGATAGGTAATTTTGAAAAACTGTACTTTATCACGTTGCGATTTTCTTTTGGACATTTAATAGCAAGTAGCAAAAAATTAAATACGCGGCAAAACATCCACGTGCAGGGGTTTTGTTGGCTAGCGTGATGCGTGCCTGACAGCGTTGGCGAACACGAGTCATCTGACAGTGCTTTTGCGATGTACTCTCCATATAACAATGTCCTTTTATGCAAGTACTTCATCCACTCTCAAGACAGTGTAACAAAGCCATAACGGTCCTCAAATCCGCCAATTTTTTCCATTGAACAAAAGGAGCATACTGAACCGCTTCCATTTACTGACACACGCACTGCCAAAACTTCAGGGGAAAATTTACCGCTACCACCCGAATGTCCAATTCTTCCTGCATAACACTGTCACCCAAACGGTAACCAATCTGCTTGCAACAGTCTGGTGTGACAAACTGGGGCTAGGTGAAGATGTCGAAGTGTCACATATAGGTGACATGTCAATATTTAAATGGTCATAGCAAAGAGGATCGTTTTCAGTGCGTTGTCACCTGCTCCACTTTCTTCCAACACTGAACATTGACATAATTGAGAATATCAACAAAGAAGCCACATCTTTCTCATGATGATGCTTGGGACGAGTCGCTGAATTTCCATACATCAGAACTACCTTAACACCCCAAAATTGGCGGACATTAAATTCGTAAAACAAAAATTAGCACAAAATTTAATCAATTTGGCTTAATGCAGACACCCAGTTCGGACGGAACTGCCTATGTCTGAAGTCCACGTTGCCTGCGGTCATGTGATTGTCTGGTATCAAAATGTAAAGATTGCGGTCCACTTGGACAACTATTGATGAGAGAAGCACAAAGTGGAAAAGCACAAATTGTTTCAAATGTAAGCTTTACAGTACTATGAGATATGAGATCTTGCGTCTTGTAAGACTTAGTATTTTCTCCTCAACACGAGTCACTACTCCAAGACCTGCCTATTTTGTAGAAGAATTTCTTTCATCCTTGAAGTCAGTAAATCGGGTCCTCTGAGAAGGAAGAGGTGCGTGCTTTAAAAGGGTGGGATGAATAGTGAAGATAACCACTTAACGAACTGTAAAAAGTACCTTCCATCCTAATTCCGTTGGTTAAGCAGTCAGCAAAATTGTGAGTTTTTACGTGAGAAGTGTAAAGCCACAACTCGATAGTCTTTGAAGCCTCCTTCCTCCTACCAGCTAATCCCTTCGGACGACATTAACGTCCTTAGCTCTCTAACTTCCACGGCTGTCCTCTCCCAGCTAATGTAGGCGTAGACCAAGTGATTTCTCACCTCTCACGTCAGACATTACGGAACGCTGACCTAGACAGCTTAATCCCCATGCAACATCTTCTTCAAACGCAATGCAACAGATTTTAAGAAGCTTCTACGGCTTTACTACCGTGTTAACCTACTTTCGTAAAGAGGACAAAATCGAAATACATCCATCATGTTCAGCTAGAAGACAGTACAGACTACAAATAGAGCGTCGAGGGACTGATGCACCTCTCCGCTTAATAAGGAATGCAAGCCGCCCCACTTCATAGGTCCAAGCAAGCTACATCGAGCTTGTAACTTATGGTGGTCCGAGAAAAATGTTGATAAAGTATTTGAAAAAGCTCTAAAGGATAACTCTACCTTGCCCGATTCCATCAGACAGAGACTGTTGGGAGATCCACGCTCCAGCAGATTGACTCGATCGTTTCTAAGACTGACTCGATCCACGTACACCGTCGTGATGTCCGGTGAACTGGCGCCCTTGAAAGGAGAAAAGGTTATTCACATTTCAATGATGGTAAAAGCGAAAATTTAGTCCGTTTTCGTTTTTCTGGTGATTGTGTGAGGTTTTGCGAAATAAATCGGGGTCAAAAAAAGGTGCAATGTGCGAAAGACTAAACCAAAAAATCGTACTTTTCTCATTGCAACGTCACGAAAGTGAAGTAAAAAAGTACGCTTTTACTCCAATAAATGAAAACCGTATCCTCGATAAACAATGGGCTATTTCGTAGTGGAATCACGCAAGCGTTTCAACCTCAGAGTCCCGTCCGTGCCTGTAAGTCCTCCGGCCCCTCCGTGAGTTCTTAACGATCCTCCTTGCATATAAGTAATTTTCCGCCTTCAGGACTAACCCAAGACTATATCGGCGACAGCGGTAATCGAGACTGGGATAAATGAACGCCATTTCCGATTGCGTCGGCTGCATACATGCGCAGGAGACAGTAAAATCGGCGTTAACTCTTGGTAAACACTGAAGCAAAACTGGTCGCGAATTGATTGGAATCACCCTAGAGGTAACCACTTGTGATTGTACTACTGACATCAAGCTTTATAATAATGATCGAAGGGCATGACATCCTTTTCCTTCCTTTTTTTTATTAAAAGCGATAGGATTACGGGATGTGCTCGTCATGGAACGTCCAGCCTTTACCATTGTTTCGCAAATGGATTTTTCCCCACCAGATGTAGTTGAGGTTCTATCATTAATCTGTCCTCTCGATGGCAACAATTCACATGAACTCATACTCCTGAATGAAGAAGAGTCACTATGTCGAGCACAAGGAACGACCCTCGGAGAGAACGTGGAAACGCTGTGGTTCTGTTTGTTTTAACAGTGCATTTGACCGCGTACACTCTTCACTTTCCGAAGCTCAGTTATGGCTCAGCATCCCTGCCTTGCATCCTTCCAGACCTTCTTTGCGGCAAAAAACAACCTTCCATGCTAACATCAACGGTTCGTGAAGCTGGTACACATTGAATTAGACAGCATTTGGTTTGACACCAAAATAAGCATTTAAAATCGAGTCCCAGCCTATCTTTTACGTTGAAGCTAACCGACACGATCATCGCAAGTCAGATTTAAGAATTCGATTTAAAATATAGAAAAGGGAATTTGACGGGATCACAAAGTGAATAAACTTGCTTGAAGACACATGGCAAGGTTAGCTCGGCACCCAAATGAGGTGCTGACGGCTCGAGGGTTGAGATTAACCGCGGCGAACATTCTTGCGAAGAGGGAAGTCAGATTGACACGCGGCCTCTCCTCTGACACAATGACAAGATTGCGCAAATTTTCCAGCGACACTTCCTTCATCTGTGGCGTAAAAAAACACTACCCATAAGCCGGTGAGTAGGCGATCAGACACGCCCGATGAGTAAAAATATTAAACTCGAGGATGTTTACTGAAATAATAAACAGTAGGATAATTCAACGCTTACAGGAGACATAACATTCACCCGTGACAGAACGAAATTGATTTGAACTGTATATTTAACTAACTAGACTGGTCAGATTCTATGAATTTTAGTCGCTATTTCAGTAAAGTGGCTTTTCGACCGCCACCACCAACTCTTCAACTTAATCCAAATTCACACCTGCAAACTACTCAGGAAGTTACATTTGTGACAGCAGTGAGCACATCCAATCAAAACGAACAGAAATTTAATTGCATGGATGTCAAATCTAAAAAAACACAGAATGGGAGCATTTGCTGCAAATGCTGATCTCTTGTTCCTCAAAAATGCAATTGAAAACGTTATCATCTACAAGATTTGCCAAACTATCCGGCATCCAAGCAACTTAATTATATGCCCCTCATTCAGCATACAACAAAACAAACATAACATCCAAACCCACCTTCATGGCAGCGATCATCTTCGCCGAGTAAATTGTTCCCAGTTTGATCGTTGCATAGGAGCAGAAGGCCTCCCGAACTAAAAATACATGAACAATGCGGGCAGAATAAAGCCTGGCTATTTACCCGCCAAGGTTCCCACACGGAGAACGACCATAAACACTAAACAGCACACTGGGAGGGATGTGAAACGCATGTAAACAAGAGGCGTACCCGTATTAGACAAAACCCCTCAGGACGATAGTTAATTCGCTGGTGACTAATTTGTGGTGCCATATTAGAAGTTTCGTTATCAGCCCAAAGAACCTGGAATTTTAAGGTATGAGAAGGGCAACACCTACTGAGGGTACAGCATTAGAGAACTCGGGTGTAGGGGAATAATTGAAGTTCCAGCAAGGCGAAAAAGGAATATGGGAAAAGGCAGAAAGAAGACGATTTTGCAGTAGAGCTGTGAGTATAGAAAGAGGCGTTGCGAGGCCATAAAGATAAGCTAATATGGTAACAACTAACTCCCAGCGCTTTTGCTGCCATTACTCTTAGAACAGATGCATTAGCGGTAAAGAATAGGATAGGGATGGAGGGGTTAGACGATTTTTAAATAACAGAACTAAGGTAAAAATTTTGCGCTCTGGTTGTAATAACGTTGACAAAGTTAGCAATAGAAGTTAAGATTAAGCACTTCCATCCATGTCATTTGGTTGACAGCAGTCAGTAAGGCCATCAGCGTCATATTTTCGCAGCATTAGTGGGGTTCCCTAAGAGAGAGATTAATGTACCAATGGTTCTGCAGACTAAAGCAGTTATTGATGACCACGTCGGCGTTTTGTTTAGGCCTTTATGTAATTCCCCATTAGACGCCTACAGTGTCATAAATAATCACCCCAATGTCGTGTTCAACAGCAAGGCGAATATTAGACCTGAAAACTTGAAAAAGGTCCATTTTGGGGCTGTCTATGGTACTTGTGTGAAGATAAGTGAATTATGCAAAGAAACGATACCTTCTCGACCTCCTTTTAGTACCTGTATGAAGCCTAAGCAGACGGCTAGGGTAAGCGATGAAGCGGGGGGAAATTGACGAGGAGTTGGTGCCATCAGCACCGTAAAGCTGCTTTAAAATTTCACGAATTTCAAGCGAATGTTCGGGTAAATAACGAAAGGCAATTGAAATACACTCGTTGCAGATCGCTCTTCGGTTTTGAGTAGTATGAATCGAGTTGAGCTACTTACTCACCACAGCTCAATAAGGAGATGGATATCTACATATGATGGAATCGACGAGAGGCAGCAACGACGCTGAGATCAAAAGTCTTCCCACCTCCATGAAATTTTAATGGTTATGATTCTCGACTCGCGAGTAGCTTTTAAGGGCACCTACTACGTTACGTTAATCAAAGCCGAAGAGCGTCAAGGGGAGAGCCGAAAACCACTTTCAAAAGAAAGAAGCCATGGTGTTTGTTCTGATGGTTATTTAACTGCGTGAATCCCCCAGCTACAGAACATCCTACTACACTAGCGTCTCATTCTTGTCCATAGCTTGTCAGTCCTTCCGTACGTTAACAATGGATCGCCCTCCACACTGGTATGCTAAACTATGACTTCAAGGACGACTAGGAGGTGCACATATATACAAATGCGATTGGTTTCTCACACAAATTAGAGCGAAATAAATAAACGTCAGGACAGATTCACCTAATACGCGGTAACAGCCTGGACTTCCTCAACATTTGATGTATGTATGGAGACGACAACCATTTTAGTCCGAATGGAAGAGAGAAATCATATTCCCACAAATGGCCGGTAATGTCATAAACCATACTTCGTCCATGTGTGGATATAAACAAGAAGAGCTAACAAATCGCATATAAAAGAGGGCTGGTACAGCACAAATAGAATCTCCCAGATACTAGACAGGATGGTATCCAAATAAATAAAATGACTTCTATTATTTTGACTAGTTCTTATACATTTAACAATCGAACACGAGACGTAAAAGGTTGGCGTCTGATAAGGTATAAACAGTTCCCCTGAACAAGATTTTAATAAATAGGTAGAGTCAATGGCTTAAAGCATTCAAAAAAGTCACAAATACGTGACATGCGTTCTTCATCTACCGAGATGGTCACACCAAATCGCGCAGTCCAAAAAAAATATTTAGATTAAAAGATCAAAATAAAGAGACGCGTGATTCTTATAGTCTAAGAAGGGTAACCGCACATTTTCTATTGTTGAGTAGAATATCCTTAAGTAGAGCACATCTTTTGGGAACTGTCGTGGTCGATTAATCCCTAAGCCTCAGGTAGAGAAGACATCTACTCAGCTTCAATAAATTGTAATATTGGATTGAAACGAATATACATTTATCGGGAGAACAATGAATTGAGCAAGACTAAGTGAGGAAATCACTCGATTTATCGGCACCGCTGATCTGTTCAATAAGTAGCATCGCCAAGTAAATCAGTAGAAGTATTTTAGAGAAGTCTTACAATAGTTAAATAAAATCTGTGACATGGAAGACAACTATAATATGAGACAAAAAGGGGAAAAAAGGGAAGAAGTAAGAAGTGCAGATAATAAGGTTGAAACAAGGGCAAACGGCACCAAATACACAAAAATAGCAAACCAAAACTCCTGTCATAGAAATAAAATGACCTTAAAAATGGTTCTTTTAAACCAAAAGAGAGGAAGATAAAATCGGGGTACCGCGCATATGTAACTTCATATATGTTAGTGGAGTAGAAGAGGAAGAAAGACGACGATACTTACTTTTTTTCTTGACTGCACAGGGTGAGCCAGAGATCAGGAGCGACCTCAGTGACTTGAGGAGGGACGAGGATTGAGTGATGACCGCAGTAGATGGAGGTGAGGAGCCAGAGACTGGCTGAAAGACCGCTGTAGGGCTCCAGACTGAGCACCAACTCACGCGCCGGGTAGAACTCGCATTGCATCTTCTGTGCCCGGCAGAGGGCGCTCGCAACGGCGTGAGTCACCTCGACGCCCGTTAGGGTACCTGTAAAAGGAGGTACGAGGAGGAGTGGTACACAATTATGCGCCCTCTCTCAATTTCACAAAACAGGCATGGGAATGGAATGTACCTGTGGTAGAAGGTGTAAAATCCAAATAGGCCACCTCTGTGTCGGGCGAGTGAGGCAGGTAGACTGTACTCAACTTCCTCCGCCACGTCTCATCGTAGTCAAGAAGCTGAGGCCAACTAGACATGGGGATGCGGCCTGCGGCCTCCTAAGTAGCACATGGATACTAATTTTAGATAAACAGGCGCCACGGCTATATTTCTAACCATACCAGTCCATATAAAGTAAATCAGCGAGTTAATGAAATCATATGTTTATATGAGTTTATTTTGAAAGCATTGCTTGGCTAATTTAAGATGAAAATTAAGTGAGTTTTGAATGCTCCACCTTTGACTTAATGAGTTTGATCACAGATGATTGAGTGAGACAGACGACAGCCTGCGCGGAAGAGACCACATTCCACGCCATTGTGACGGAGTCGGCGAAGCAAATTTGTGCTGGCGGTGGAGAGGGTTCGAGAGAAGTACGGCTGGCGGAGAGGTCTATCAAAGAGCCACCGAAGAGACCACTACTGCTGACGGAGGTACCGAGAGCTGAAGAGGAGGTGGAGGAAGCAGCGGTGGCTCCGCTACCGACGACTGGACTACGTGGCTGCTGGGGCGGTCGCACTAGCACAGGAATGGCGGCTATGTACAGGCAGGCGTAGAAAGCGCACACCATCTCGATCCCTGGGGTAAGAGAAGATTCAATCAGGAGCATATTTACTTACATGTGGGAGTCACTCAGCCACTACCAACTTCAACACACCGATACTACATCAGGAAGGAAAATGAAAAGGAGAAAAAGCATGACTCAGAGCCGTTTGGCACGGAATTTGTGGATTATTGCAATCTAACAGCCACACGGAGAGAGAAAAATAAGCAGAACGTCCCATATATCCACAACCCCTCTCTTGTTAATAGGTTAAGGAAAGGGGGAGGGAAATAGCAGTCCTTGACCTTTTAACAGAGCCAAGGGTACGCGACACAACTACGACGTCATCATCTGCACCTGGCCAAAACCCCGACGAAGGATGCGCAGTAATGTGATAAGAGCAATCAAAATCACGTTTGACGATGGTGGTGAGTGAGCTAGCGAAGAAGAATGGGTTACTTAAATTGGGCTGAACGTATGAGAGAGGCAGTGCTGAACACGATAAGCTTGATGACTCATGCGCCTCCATTGGAGGGAAACAAGGTCACTCACCAGGCATAAACATGACAGCTACGACAGAGCCGGGTTTAACATTGCCCTTCTCCTGTAGCAGGCTGCCTAGCCGCTCGGCCTTCTGATGCAGCTGATGACATGTGAGACCGGCCACCACGGCGCCCTTGGCGTTGTAAACACTAAAGAGACGGTCTTCGGGAGTGTGGGTTGCTCGCCAGAGCAGCACCTCTGTCACTGTTTGTGGCTGCACGAAGGAGAAGTATGGTCCGTATAAAACAGGCGCCTTCATTATGAAAAGATGGCTTTGGATCAACAGATCAAGCAGCTAAACAGGAAATTACGCCAAGATCAGGAGCCCCCGGTCCAAGGGCAGTCATGCTGCCATGAACAGCATTGGAGATGAATCGTCCATGTGCCTCGGCCATACGCGCGCCTTGAACCACCTGGCCAACGAGGATTGCCGAGGCACCTACCAGACTGGTGGGCGGTTGAGTGCGTGGCTGAGGCAGGTTCTGGATGGCCGAATGGGGACAGAGTAGCAGCATGATGGGGTGTAGCTGGCCTTCGGAGAAGAGGCGACGCACCTCGTGCACGTGAATTCCGCCGAAAGGCGTCTACAAAGATACGAAGCGCATTAACAGGAGTGGATTAAGGTCCCCATTTTCTCATTATCTCATAGTTTATCCAATTTCACGAAAAGACTAGCAATGATCGAAGCGGGACAACGTAAAAACGACGTTTTTCTTAACGACATAGACCCCATATTCTCTGCGACTTCCGTTAGCAAACTGATGTCATGCCAGTGATGTGTCGCGCCTTCCGCTGATCAACAACAAAAATACTTCCGGACTGAGTATACCTTCTCATGGCCGCCGAGATGCCTCGAAGAGCTATGTATTAAGAGACGACTGACTAATACCAGAATAGTGGACCTCAAATACGAAAATACGAAGTCACCACTTTTATCTCCATCGCGATTGATCAAAACAGATGGAGGCAAGGAGGCAGTACTGATCGCTACATCAGTAACCACTTAATTACCTGTGCCAGTATGAAATTTACTTCTAATATATAAACTATAAAGAGCCATAGAAACCGATTTAAATTTACAATATCACCCAATTGCTATGTCGCGTATGGACAAAAGGGAATGAGGATTGTTACAGCTACACAAAAAAAACATTTTTCCTGAATGGGTACAATGTACCCAACAAGATATAGGAGTGTACCGTGTATACCTCTGCTTTATCGGGCCTTTGGATTACACACGACATATTGAGAAGATGCGCCATTAAGGTAGGAAGAGGAGCAGGAGTGCTTCATAAATGCAAAGCGAATTTGTCAATGCCTTGCCGGAGGGTTTAGATACACCCAACTGCTGCGCTATTTTTACCTATTCGAAAACGCACATGCGCTATTGATGTAAATTTGTCACCTCATCACCATTCCCATTTCGTGGATGATGAAATACGGATTGAGACCAAAACGAAGTTTGATATACATGCATATGTCATCTTAATAGTTATTATTTCACAACCTGACATTTAAAAGTGCGACCGGTCACCACAGTTCATAAAAAATGCTCCACTAGAGTAATGCTACCCAAAAAGCAAAAAAAGTGTAATTGTCCTTTGACTAATTGAACATCTTAAATCTGTTAAAATGCTCTAAACTCAGTCGATTTGTTTATTTCCTAATTCATGGCAACTAGTTATCAGAGACGGGTTAAGAATATGTCACAAATGGGTGAAGTTGGCTACGAGCAGGTCATGAGAGAAAACCAGTATTCAATAATTTCTGCTCAAATTAACCAAAAGTGAAATGCAAAACAAATTCATACGGAAATCCTAAACATGTTATTCGGAGAAGTATTATGAAGTATCAACCCTTCCAAACAAAACAAGCTTGACGCAGTCATCTTCCATGAAAGCTTTTGCCTCTAAAATCCAACAAAAAACCTGCCTACCTACCCTTGTTGCAATTTCACTTTTATTATTCAATAACATGACTGCATAATCCTAAGGCGTACAAATAAGCGAAATCACTAGGAGAATGAGGTAGTATCATCCCTCCGCCCATCCTAAACCGCTTCAGGCGATTTCTGTGGCGGTATGAAAACGATTGTCTCCGATTGATCCACCTGCCAAAGTCAATGCATGCGTATAAATAATCTCACACATTTGACAAGTCATTCCAATGCGCTATACTGAAAGCCGCACGAACTTTTGAAATCGAGAATCTTCCCTCCTAGCAGTACATCATTTCAGCTGAAACCCATCAATGCAGTAAAATAAAAAACTCGAATATCTTCACTTTAGATCAAAAAATGGCTACATACCCCATTACCTATTGAGTCATATCCACATTTTTGATAAGTAGAACTACGTCTTAACTTGATAAAATCCGGTCTTATGCATCACCATTGCCATGCACCCGAGGGAATAATCGAAGTGTAATGTTCAGGACAAAGGAAACCAACTTAAGACTTCTGTTCAAATAGACAGGAAATTTTCCCTCCTCAGTTTGAGATCAATCACCTCAGCAACGTCACCCTGAAGCTATTACCATTTTGGGGAGAAAGACAAAATCAACACAAACGCAGCCTTCGTATTCTTGCCTAAGGACTGTACATCAGGGAGAATAACAACGACGAAAGCGTTAGGTATTGCGACGCACAAAAAGTGGAGAAGCAGCGCGTTGATGGGCCTTGCCGAAGGTAGGAACGGGGAATTATTAGGCAAAAGTGCCGCAGCATTCAAACCAAACCGGGGGCATGGAGACCAGGGAAAAAATCAAGCGTCGATTATTTAGGACTAGACTTCTACACGGTGGCTTGAAGGATAAGAGACAAAATGTTTACACTAATCAAATATTATCACCATGCTATACTCGAGTTACCCCACAGACAAAGGTAGATGTCCGCGGGTTCGGGTTCGACGCTCTAAGCACCTTTTACCAGACACCCAATTTTGGTTAGCTGAGTCTAGATTTGACTGGACTGACCCAGTCTTAACTTGCAACTGCTACCAGAACAAAAAATTATAATGAAATTGAAATTGAAGTGTGATAAGACCTAATGGAGGCGTCAATCGTAGAAACGATAGAGACCAAGCATGAGTTCGTAGACGCACCCGAGGAAGCTGATTCTGTGGAACGAGAGCGAGGGCGTAGACACTGACTTGATGAATACTGTCAACAGCCTGCAAGACCTGCGACATCCATGAGAAGGCGGCCTCCTCCGAGAAGCCGTGGCGCAGTTCGGCAATCACCACGATCCTCTCGTCCTTCAGCATTTCAATCGAAAAGACGGCAATTCTGTGGGTGGGAAGGATAGATTCTTTGACCTTGAACGGATCTTTTAGATCCATTCGTGGACACCTACGGCATATAGCCAACCCCATACTACCCATACTAGGAGCTGTCCAGTCGGTCTATGGACCGGTAAGGCATTTAGGAGACAACTTCAGCCTACCAGCTGGTTAAAAATACACCGAAAAACGCCAATTTCATCCATAAAACGATGATATCAATGCTCTGCACGTCAACAATCAGCTTCTTGTAAGCACCACATTTGTCCCTAAATGTAAATACTGGTGGCACCAAAATTTTGTCGCAAACGAATTGGTTGAGTCTAAACCAGTATATAATAGGTGTATGGTAATCAAGGCTCTCGGCAGGACGAATATATTATGAAAGCTAAAATGTGATCGATATACGTTTTGACAATCATTTGCTTAGAAACGAGGACCACAAGCTCAGCACCAATGAATCACTGGAGCTAGTAAATGAGTCAAATGGTGCAAATACACCTATACGCATGTACACAAGCGCATACACATTGCCTGTGAATCAAATGCGGGCCGAATGTGATACAAGATTGCAACCTTGTAGGGCTCAACAACCCGTAGATCAGAGTGGGTGGCGCCAAACTGGCCCAAATCAGGCTAAAAAGTAAAAAGCACGAATCCACGCATACACAGCGTTAAATTTTCCTCATGTCAGTGACATTTAATGTAAATATAGGGAGGGTGAGAACAGGAGTAAACTGACACACATACATACAAACGCCACCTTACCGACCACGGTAGACAATCTTCGTGGGCTGAACTGCGATAACTGTTGCGATTATGTCATTGGCGTTGTGGCGTCGGCCAGCCACGGCTAGGACGCCGTCGATGGAGCCGCAGATGAATATGAGACCGCCCTGCAATTAGAAGATAAAGGGTGCGAAGCAGTCTTGTAACGAAACAATACTTATTTCCAAACTCGCTAACACCGTCGTCATGTGCATGTGAAGTTCCGACTTTCACACCTAAGTTTATAGTTCACAAATATTACTGACCGTTTTAGTTGTACGAAATCGAGCGTTGTAAAGAGACTAATTGAGTCTAAGCCGATAGAACGGGTTATCACACTTTTAGGCTTCGAAAAGCAGTTATTAGGAAGGTGTAAATGTCCAGAGTACTGCTTATTTTCATCTGAAACTGTGTCAGCAGACGCATTAACTGCGGTTTTCCTCTCCGTGGCGTAGTGTTTCAGTCACCAAGGCATTTCCGGTGATGGTTAACCGACTCCTCTGTACACTTACAACCAAACACCTCAAAACGTCTGTAGGGTGGTGAAGTTCAACCAATCCAGCCTCCGATAAAATAAAACGTATAATCAGTGACCAAGTAAAATTACAAAACAACTCGGGTAAGATTCTTTGGCTCGGAGAGGGAACAAAGTCCAGGAGGACAGTTAGACGGATACACAATGCAAGAAGGAATAACTGTCTCATTAAGTCAGGTCCAGATTTTGATATACTTTGCATCTATTGAGATTTTATGCTATCATTTTAGGTTGTCCTTTTGGAATTCTCGTAACTCGACCCTCGCGCCAGTAGCATGAAGTTCTGGCCCTTCAAAATGTCGATAATGGAAAAAAGAAACGCCTTCCAAATTTGTATGCCTTATGAGGTGCATTGAAGAAGCAACCACAAAATTAACACTAGTGCTTTAGCATTACGGCCGATAAATGAAGTGCCTAAATGTTTACTTTTACTGGCTTAATTTTCATTCGTTTTTGTGCCAACGCGATATTTGTTTTCAACTCCCTTACTTTACAAATTCATTCCAATTGGCTCAGCGGAAAGCCTTACCGTAAATCCATCGGTAAAGCGAGGCAGATTATAAATCATGATAATAGTATCAGCCTATAAAAAAAGTTTTCAAACCGTCAACCAGTATGTTGTGAAGGTCATAGTCCATAGTTCAGCCACAAATAAGTGTGGTGTATTCGCCTCTAGGACAGATTAAAACTGATCACTCATCTACTAACCATGGTAATTTAGACAAAGGGTAGTCACCTATTCACACGTGGGTTAAAAAATTAAATTAAAAAAAACAACATGGGTAAAATAAAAGATGAAATAAACTTATGATAACACAAAGTAAGCACTTAAACAGAGAAAACTTGGTAATTTCGAGATCATGGATACCATGGGGAGGTAAATAGGTGAAGCAAACCGACGCAAGCCATGAAACCAACCCAGGCCACTGCTGCTTTGCCATTAATACGGCTAATGGCCGTCTGATAATTGAGTTGATGATGAGAGCCTTGTGCCGGCGTTGAAGTCGGCATCGACATCACCACACTCAAGATTTGAAGTCGCATTAGTAAAAGGTCGGAGGGCTTACACACACGCACCATAGTAATAAACAAAAGGCAGACGACCAAGGCATACATCAAAGAGGGGGGAAGACAAGTCATGCTTCTATATTTAGCAACCCAAAACGTCAAGATGGTTGGAGGGGGGGAGGAACGCATAAAAGAATACATCCGGCTTATGCTAAAGTTTATTGACGCAACACGGTGACAGCGTTTTCCCCTAAATAAATGAAGCAGCTGCCATGCATGCCACTGTGCAATCCGCTTTCCAAGCTCGTAAGGACTATTATATCCTCAACGCCAGACCGTATAAATTAATGATGGTGCATCAAGCAAAGCAACGAAGGGTTGGATCGTATGTTGGAGATAATTGCATGGGAGAATGACAGGTCTCATTAGATTTTGACATCTCTAAAACTCCTACAGAAAATTGGAAAATTTATTGTCTGCTTTATCTTTCAATTAATCGGCTAATCCACATAAACCTTTTCAGACAATGAAAAGAGGCCGTGTGACCTGTTTCTCAACCCATCTGTACGCTTACAATGAAAAGTATGTGGCAATTTGATATTCTGTCCAACTGCATTTTAGGCTATCCTTCCGTTTAACACCAAAGCCCTCAAGCCATGCTTGATAGCTCTTGGTCCCTACGTGCGCCAATAATAAAACATCTCTCATACTGGTATGTCTTCAAGGGAGAGCCGAGACGCTACATTGATGGTGATGGAAAGAGAGCTCTAACTAATTGCAAGATTCAAATGTTACAGAAGAAAAGTGCCTCTTGTGAATAGCTGAATCTGCAGGGGCTCACTACAGAAAAGTAAACATGGTGTCGACCAAAGGGGAATTCCCACTTCTAAACTACAACTCATATTAAGGAAGAGGTTACTATACTTTCTTAAAAGGAAAAGTTGACATCATAATAAAAAAAAAGGTGGTATTTCTTTTTCTAACGCTGCTTGTAGGTGAATGCCACCATTAAAAGTGGAAAACACGAAGCGTGTGCGCGTCGTAGAACACCATCCACAATGATCCAGACAAATCCTTCCCGAAGGCATTTCGCCGTGAAGGCAATGCGATATTCTAAAAAAACCCTTACCAAACTCACTGCATGTACTACCACCAATCTGCAACATACTCTCTGGTAATTCTCTATCATCTTCGATCCTACCTTGCGCTTAGTTACGGACCACACGCTAATTGTTGACCTCAATGGAGGTTTAGAGCACGACGTTCAAGAGTGCGTTGTAATGAATTACTGTTTAACGTTAAGGGTTCAGCAGTCGCCAGAGCTTGTGCTTCCACTAAACAGCGTGGCCTTTCAGTCAAGCCTAAGATCCCTCGATCCCTCCCTGCGTTAGTAAATTAATCTGACATGCCGGTATGGCTTACTACGACTTCAGGGAGTAAATTCTGATCTGTAGCTCTCATAAAATCTTTAGGAGTAATACAAATGCCATCCTAGCACCGATTTAGAGAAATGCGGCAACCATTTTTTGGTTCAAATAAAATTTACGTTAAAATATATCGGCTGGTAAGCTCAAACCATCTTGCTCCGTCGTGAACCCCTGAATCTACTATTGAAATCTTGTCGGCCATCGAGAGTGGCTTTGATTATCTGTGTCATGATCAGTACTGGATCCGGATTAAAACGTAATATTTTCAAATAAATAACTTTAACACAATTTACTGACGCAAAATGACGCAAATTATAAGACAACCGAACAAAATCACAAAATTTTTTTCGAAATAAGCATCAGATAATCACAAAAAAGCCTCTTAGAACAAGCTAGTGCTTGAAATCATCACCAATGCAGGACTATCATCCTTTCTCTATTCCTATTAACTCAAGTGTCGCCGATTTTTGTCTCTTAACTGCGATCATGTGATTGTTGGCTGCCAAGAAAAGACCATATTTGCCACCAGAGGAATACAGAGGATGAAAAATGATCACCTTCTTTGTCATCATAAAGTACGATGAGTTCCCACAGTAATCTTTGTGGTATGAGGCCTGCCATTGGCTTGTAAGGATAGCACTTTCTCCCAACTTTTGACTAGTCCAAGTCCGAGCAATTACTGAAGAAGAAATCTTTTATATACTCCTTCAAGTCGTCATGTGCTGAGTAAATGGATCTGGGTCGCGTTTGTACGAGCTCCAGCAAGTGCATAATTCTCACTGCACAATTGCATCTGCTGGCCAAAAAACACACACAAAGCCATGTGCATACAGTACAGTGGGGATTGAGTAGTGAATGCGGTGGAAGTGTGGGACAAGCAGTGAATCGTTTGGACATGTTCGCCCGCTTAAAGCGCATTGTCATACAAAAGCAAAAACACTGTTTCGCATCACAGCAGTCAGCCAGCCAGTGAGCGAACCGCATAAAATCAACGCCGTGTTTATGATGCTAAAGAAGCCGACAAATTGCTAGTTTTTGAGGCTTACTACCTGTTATCTCCTAGCACGTCTTACTGGGATGAATTGGCTTAGTTGCCATCACGATGAAACATTTTAATTAACTGACATTTATCTTTGAGTGATTTGTTGACAGAATCACGTGTTAAAACAATTTGAGAGAGGTGCGTTCTGCCATTCCACACCTTTGAAGTCAGTTAGAATCTGCTCGTAAAGCTGGCAAAAGCTAAAACTACGCCCATCGAGTTCACTGGCCTTTTAAGCAGAGATAAGTCGTATTGAAAGACTAGTAAAAGTCTATTCAGCATGTAGCACGTCAGCAACCGCACGATCTTCATTGTTTATCTGATACAGAAAAACCAATGACATAGATCACTGTTGAACTCGAAAATCCTACTAACTCATCATAACTCCTCCAAATAATATTTTTATGATCATCGATAATGATAGTTGTTCCAATTACCCTCACAATCCCATTCACCGCGATTCAGTCGCAAATACGTTACTGTACCTTTGGGCTCGTACGACTCATAACGCTTTCTGGAGTAACTCAGATGCTACGACCCAAAACCTCCATTGCAAAAATGGATAAAAAAGTAGCTCAAAGGAGGAATAATGAAGTCGAGCCACCCAAACAGCGAATGTTTAGAAAAAAACTCACCAGGAAATATTTAGGATTAAATGGAGGCACCTACCGATGAGGCAGGTCCTGGGAAGCCGATAAGACCAGAGCGAACAAATTTTGAGGTCGTGGTGGTAATGCCCCCAACACAAGCGGTAGTAGGTACATGCAGTGCCCCAGCCGTGGCAGTTACACTAGCGTTGATATTTACCACCACTGGTCGACCATCCTCATGAACAGGTTGGACACAGAAATGTGAGCCCGTCTGGCCACGCAGACCCCAGTAGCCCGTTCCAACGTAGTCCGCTGCGATGCAAAGCTCACCCACCTCGTCTGTTCGACATATGGTAGGTTTGGGGCCCAGACTCACCACCACCATTGCCGCTGGAAGGTAAAAACTACCCGATTTTAGAAGCATTTGGTTTATTTAAACACAATTCATGCATCAAGAGGGTTCAGCATTTAAGCACCCAACTTTCCTTTGAAACAGTGTGTTAAAGTCCCTAAGTGCTAAATGTGTTTGACAGAATATGACCGTTTACAACAAATCTCAAGAGGGATAAAATCTATCATATAGGCTGATTTCAGACACCTCTCACTGATAGCTAACCTCCAGGAAGAACCTGACCGCAGTCCTGGAGAGTAAGTGATGTAAAGGAGTCTTCTGAGTCCACCCGGATGACACCGTAGCTCAGTGCGTGAATAGAGATGATTCCACGGGCGGCGGCCGCAGCGGGACTACCGCTGAGAAGCGTGTGCTGTGGACTGGCGTTACTAGTGGGTGGAAGGACTGCAGCGGAGGTGGGGACGCCACGAGGTGCACCGTTCGAGTGGAGGCCGAACAGACCGCCGGTGTTAGGCGCTGTCGCGCTGCTTGGTAGGATGGGTCGGCGCAATGCCAGAGTGAGAGTCTCCGAGCTACCCGCAATGGGACAGATGGCGTTGGGATTGAGACCTCGAGACTTGAATTTTGCCGCAAAGAGGTCGCAAGAATTGAGAGACCCTGTAATTGAAGTGTCGTTTGCATTTAAACAGATCTTTTAAGTCGTCAGAGATTCGGCTACTGATCTGCTGCCGGGATTGAGCATTTTACTTTACGGGTTCTTAAGTCCCCAACCATCCTAGCATCACGTCGGCCCGTCCCGCCTACAGCCTTCTAGGCTCATCACATCTACAGAGGTGACTCGCGATGCAATACCGGTGGTAGCGATGATGAAACTCATTCCAAAAGAACAATCCAGGTTAGTTTGATTAATCATCAAACATCAAAATCAGAGGACGATATCTGACGTTGGCGTCGGCGCTGGTAAAACCTTCAAGTTTGTTTCCGCAAAATGATTGCTAGTGTAGTAAAACCAGATTCTGAGGGGCCAAAATTGGGAAAGGACACGAGGCTCAGCTCACGCCACGTATCCTCTTGGCCTGTCAAGTTTTCTGAGCATTGATAACAGAGCTATCCTTAAGTTGATTTATCTTTTTAACTACTTCAGGAATAACACAGAAGTAAATAATCCACTAGCCGCAAAAAATCCAAGTGAATCCAGTGTTCTGTTTATGAATTTAGGTTGGGCGTCTCCATGAAGCTAACTACCTGTGCCTGAATGGGGGTGTTCAATAGAACCACAGTTTAGACAAACAATTGAAAAGAGTAAGAGGCCAATTATGACGCGTTATCGCCATTCAAAGTGCTCTAGTGAGCGATAGCAAAATATTTGTCGGAGAGACAACTAATTTTCTGATAACCTCTTTAACCAGGACAACAGAAATACAACGAAATCAAAATTTGTTGTGGATCAACCTGTTTCTTTAAGCAACGAAACAAAACAACTTACAGGGGTTATGACCATCAGTGACAAGTAGAGCACGAAGAGACGAGAGATTGCAGTAGGGATGCTCACGTTCCGCCAGTAAAGCCCAGTGAAGATCGCGACTTTTAACAATTGCGACGGAGGCTGCATGTGATGGGAAGAAAGAAACAATGAATAGGGGCTAAGTTTCACCGTCTAAAGAAGAAAGTAGTGCTTTACCGCGATACTTGGTAGCCATGCGAATCCAAGAACCCGGGTCCATTTGAAGGACGTTAAAAGGTACGAACACGACATGCATCCCGTTGAAAACACTCTGGAAAGGATGAGGAATAACTCATCCGAAAATTGCCACAGTCAAATGCTGGGGCATTACAGACAGGCTAGATAGAGCTTACAGATAGAGCAGCGTGCCATAGACCGGCCTCCCGACGACAGTCCACTACGCAGACCATTACGTCACCCTCAGAGTAATGGCAGGCCGCTGTAAGTGCCCGACAGTGCGCCAGAGCCGCTTTTCGACTCACCATCACCCCTCGAACGCTTCCATCCTTTGCATAGGTGTACTAAAAGTGAGAACGAACAATTTGGGAAACGATCGGCAAGGAACCATCATATATACAACGGCCGGGCCCGAATCGAAGGTAAACTGTTAGCAATACGGCATTGTCGAACTCAAAGTTGCCGGGAATCAAACAGTTAGGTAACTTCGTTAATCGCTAAGACGTGCGCAGACGGATGAAGTGAAAAACCAGTGATGGATGAATAAAGAGATGTGAAGAGAGGTGAATGGATTCGAGATGGATAGACCTAGTGACAACCTTTGCACACCTCAAGGTAATTGACAGGAAAAAAAATGCTCAAGATAGGAAGGTGATTTGATCAATCACGGAGTTCTCTGGAAATGACCAACTGATCTGAACGGCATTCAAAGATGACAGGTTCAGAATAACTAAATTTATACAAGTATGACAATGTTTAATTCTGAACTTGACTACAAGGCACACCGCCGATTATTCAGTAATGAGGCAATAGGCGTATTTTACAGAGGGCAAAGGCCATAACGAAGAACTTCTAAGCTTCCATGTCTGGTGAATAAGATGTGCGCGCATTGATCCTGCATCAGTTAACCCTTCATAACAAGAATCATCGTAGTTCATCAGCTATTTGATTTCCCTCTCTCCTGCATAAACCCAAAGGTGCCAAAATAAATCAAACCACCCTCGTGCTTCAAAGACAGCCACATACTCAACAATGGCAAAGCATCTAGCATTCCAAATTCATGGCTATTTGGAGCGTCTAGAGTACGAAACCGCCAGTATTGTATTAAATATACAAAAGTAACAAAGTCCAACCTCAATGTAAATGGTCTCCTCGGGTGGAAGGCGTTCTGGAAGGCTCCAGTCCTTGGGCGCCTTCTTGGTATTGCCACCACCGCTGCCACCATGGTGATCGGTATTAATCCACGCGAGGTGCTGTGGCCAGCCAGGTAGGGGGGCGATATCCCCTGCTGAAGTTCGAGACAGGGACTTGTAGACTTGGTCGTTAGTCAGCACCACGCGAGCATCCAAACTGCTCAGTAGAAAGCCCATGTTCTGGCACGAGCTGTCCTATAGCAACACAATGTTTTAAGAGCAACTTCAATGTCGATTTATTAACAATGAGACGACCAAATCTTTGATAGAGAAGCACAGTGCATAGTCATAATACATACATCCAGACTGTCCAGCAGGAAACTCATATTCTGGTTAAAGCTTTCATAAGACAACACACAAATGATCAACTTATAATTCTACTTTAGCAGAAATACTTTAATTACATTGCTAGCTACGGAACATATGATTACTCGAAATATATGCAGCAAGTGTCCAGTAGAAATCCCTAGCTCTAACATCAGAAACAAACGTCAACATCATCGATAAAGGCATTTTTTACTTGTTAGTTCAGTGCCGAGAATACGGAGAGGTTCAGTTCCGCAGCTACTTTAAGCAGAGAAAAGAACAAAAGTAATCTCGGGAACTCAACTACAAGACCCTCCCATTTGACTCACACGATACAGCAGACAATGCAATGAGTTTAGGAGAGGGCACTTCAAGCTCGACACTTCACTCTTGCCTATCTAACCGTATCAAGCGCTCATGATCATTAAGAGGAAAAAAATGTCTCAACACAATGCTAAACCACCCCGTTTTTAGTTCTCCTCATCCAACATTATTTTAATTAGTTAGAACGAAATGTCGATAAGTAATATTTTGTATCCCTGAACACAAAAAAGGGATTACTCGAAAATGCGTTGCTAAAGTATGAACAAAGAAAGCACTCAAGTGCGGTCCGTTTCAATAAACATGACCATCAAATACGACGGCAATGTTCTGAATAAGGAAGGTCCGAAATAAAGAATTTGCAATCGCCAAAAATTGCTCCGTTCTTTATCACAATGCAGTGGTTTGACTTCTGAAACCCCGAATTTCAGAGAGAAATTTGCCACCAGAACCATCCAGATATTGCATTGTTCTAATTACATGATGTACTTTGTTTTTTTTCGATCTAAATAAGTTTCCCCTAAGCGATTGTGCCACATGTATGAAGTGGAGGGTCAGAGAAGAAAATCAGGGCGTCACGCATGTCACCCTAACGAAGGTACTAAATTCGCCAATGGGAAGTTGGAGCAAAGCTTTGGTTATTGTTGGAGAAATGTAAGCAGAAGTGGTCGATGATAATATCATTCAAGCATTCCAACGAGCATGAATAATGAACGCGTTGTTATCTTTGCATGAAAAAAGAGCCCATCCAAAGGGCAACACAACAATTTCCATAGGACAGGAAAGTGGGAGAAATTGCAGATAATAAACTCGGCTTCCGCCAGAGACGAGATAAATCGTCGTATCGTTTACTGTTTTTTAGCGAAGGATGTAGAGTCAAACACATATCAAGAGGAGGAGAGATGCCTTTTTTTTACACAGACAACAACGTGAGCATGCAAAAAGGCGGAGAGAACGGACCAATAGGAAGGAAGCACGTAACACACCCTCATCAAGCTGAATGACTAGCCCGTTAAAAGGATGTGGAACTCGCAATCATCAAGCGCGCCCATGGAGAGGTAGGGGACGAGGGAGCATAATAAATCAGCTACTTCGCATGGTCGATGTGTGTACGTGTGTGGGAAACGCTAAAACAAGTCCCACAAGAAGGAACTGCCGACGTCATGTAAGCACTCCCTGTAGTGAAACTATGCGAGTCATTCAGACTATGGGGATTATGCCGTCAGCTTATCGTTGTGGCTGCAATGGCCCAGCCCCTCCCCATACGCTAATAATTGTCATTCCTCTCTTTTTTTCCAGAGGCGATTCTGAAAGGGAAAAATGATAACAACAGTGAGCGAACCCAACCCAAATGAACAAAAACTCTAATTTTACTGACTGGGTGGCAAAATTAGGACAGAAGGAGGGAACATCTGATGCGAATTACCGAAGCTGCAGAAACTCACCGCAGAAGAATTAGCGAAACTGATGCGACGCTCTTCGGTAAGCCCAGAAAATCCGAGTTCCACCCAATGGCTACTAACGCAGCCAGTTGAATTTAAACTGATTGAAAATGACCCTAAAACCCCTTTTTGAATTACTAAACGCAGATTACATAAGTCTGAGAAAATCGCAACTTCTCCACGTAACTTTAGGCGAACCTTACTACGAGATCTGCCTGTTCGTCCAAACTTCGGCAAATCAAACCTTTCAATACAGTTCGCCGATCCCATAAAATGGGTGACATTCCCTCCAGGGTGATAAGCATTGTCACCACAGGTAACTCCGGTAGCCACAGACAAAAACCAGGAAGAGGGGAGAAGACCTACCCTCTTGGCGCCGGGCACTTCAATGGCAATGGGAATGACACTAGCAAGAAGGCAGCCATAGAAGGCGACGAGGTAGGAGATGGGATCGTTGGAACTGTAGACCAGCGCCACCCGGTCCCGAGGTTTCAGGCTCTGTCCACCCCGATGACCGAGTTTATTTAGCAGGAGGAAGGCTATGCGGTTGGAGCGCTGTGAAAGTAGACGCGGACCAGCGTGAGATGAAATGCTTATTTCAAACAACCAGCTAAATAAAAACGCAGGATTTAAAGGTTTTATTTTGTTACACTGTGACACCTATTATTTAACACCTTTTTCCTGAAATATTAGGAAATTCATTGAAATAGGGTCCCACGAAATCCATGACAATTTAAGATTAAACGATACCTAAAGATTAAAATTTTAACGACGAAGGAAATCACACCGGTTAATCACGAACTCCGTGAAATTAATGCTTCATGGAAGTCAGAAGCGCAGTGTTTTGATATTTCAAGGGCATTATTCTGATACTTCACTTAATCGCGGTATAAAAAAACATTTACTACAAGGTTTAGAAGACCCGATCCGACCCATGGCTTAGGCCATCTAGGCGACAAGTCTCTCAGCCCCTCTGTACGTTCATAATAAAACCCGCCTACGCCTACAAGGACGGCCCAGAACACTGTACTAGTAGCAACACCAAGCGAGACCGACTTGTCCGCACACACAAGTATTACAGAGAGTGACTCCACCCAGTGCCGCCTAAGCAGCTAACGTCTTCGCCTTTGTGTGGCGAAAAACTTACTGATCCGCCCCATTACATCTTCGGAGCACCAGAACAAACATAACACTGACAAATATGACTTTACAACTGGACCATCGGCGATACTTTTAATTACATTCTAACTGGAATCTACCTGCAGCAGCTTGGCATAGGAGAGGACCTGCGTAGAACGTCCCGAAGGCTCAAGACACGTGAGAGCAGGTGTCTTGCCAATCACACTAGCATACCGCTGCAGAGCTGACTCAATGTTCCTTGGAAGACCTGGGGGAACCTTAAAAGAAGGGGAACAGCAACAAATGTGTGAAAAACCATTCCCTCACTTCGGCAATCAAACCATAATGCCACATACAATGAGCTTTTCACCGATGAGAGGTTCAGTGATCGCACCCAGTGGTTTCGGAGCGTTGGGATCGACAACAGGTTGAACGAGGATTTGGTCGTCCTCGTCAATAAAGTACTCTGGTAGAGGACGGCGTTTGGGTCGTTTGAGTGTGTTTACGAGTTGTTGAATCTTCTCAGACACCCGAGAGGGACACACCAGACCGCTCTGATACATCGATTGGGGGTTGGGAATGACCTCCAAAACTGAAGAGGTGAGAGATGGCCGGAGGAGCCTACTGTCGCCACTTCCGCCTCCACCGGAGTTTGGGAGCTGTGGGGAGGTCTGACTAGAACTTGCGCGAGAGACTGCATGAGGAAAAAATAGGACTTAGAATTCATTCGCATGAGATAGAGATGTTAACGGAAATGGGATGTTAATAGATCACATCCTTCATGTTTTAAGATTCACATGGGCAGTTAATGAGGCTTGCTACCATGATGATGCTAGGTGCAGTAGCAAGTGCTAATTGTAACCCCTTGCACAATTATAGTCAGGACACACATCGTGGACCAGAACAGTCCAGTTCAATCCTGACGCCGCTAGCCGAGGTTAGATGGCAGACCATAGTAGCAGTGCGTGCATGGGCACGCAAGAGTGTATGGTAATAGAGGTTTCTTGTCTAAACCAGGAAACATCTGCTTGTATCTACCGAAGACTTCAAAAAGCACAGTACGGTGACAATAAGTTTAAATGATGTAAATCTTCCGTTATAAAACAAAACTTGACAGCCTCGGTGGCCATTTCTGTGAATAAATAGCTGGGTCCCGAGGCAGGCGAATGATCCTAAGAATAATAATGACATAATTACAAATCTCTTAAGGCGAAAGCCGCTTTCTGGGTATTAGTGCATAGGTATAGGAGAGAACCGCCTGGAAAAAAAGAACTGCATTTTTCACTCCTTCAAATTTGTCCAACTATTCCGCAAATTTAAAACGCTCCTTCTCCGTAATATCACTGAATCAAATTGAGCTTTACACTTGACAATCAACTCGGGGAGAAAAAGTGCAAAATTAAACACAGCGACAGTAATAAAGTGGACAAAGCAGTTAAACTAGCAGCAGAAAAGGGTCTAATCACGCGTTGAATAATTCAGAGCACCAAGACGAATCGAAATAAAAGTAATTCTTGATGAAGCCGAAATGAGCAAAAACTACGCAAGGTAAAAATGATGCTAGAAGAGCGCAATTTTCTCGCCCAATCAAATGGTTTGTCGTGTCCCAGTCCATCCTGACGATGCAAGACTTTGAATTTAACAGGTCAAGTTGGCTGTTGACAGAAATGACACGAGCAAAACAGTGCCCCGTCAAGATGACGACTACATACTAAAATGCACAATCAACACGTTAATTTTGGTTTTCTTACCCGAGCCCACACATTGTATTTGTAATGTTTTATCAGTTTACAAAAACTCCAGGTTGCAAATAGATTAGTTGGTCGGTGTGGCGAGTCCTTGTAACGAGAAAAATTAAAATTCGCCTAGTTTTTGAGGAGATTTAAAATGATAAAAAAGAATGACAATTGGATCAGGTGGTCAAGTCCGCTCCAAGGCCCTGGTAACGAAACTGGTAAAGCAAATGTTGCCAGACTGTGTTTTAAAAGAGCGTGGGATTGCAGTACCAAAAAACTTGACAATTGACGTGCTTCAGACAAAACGAATGCGTTGAAGTATTTTTAGCAGCCTAGTCTCACAATTAGACGGTAACACCTTGGAGACAAGGTAAAGCACGTTAGTTACGCGATGCCTGACTAGTTGCGGTAAAAAATTGTTGGGTTGAAGGAACAAAATTTGCTCAGAAGACCAACCCTGGGAAGTGAGGGTTGAAACACACGCCAAGTGTGGCGTACATGACTCATGCCAAATGCTCGGGGGAAGGCAGCAAAATTGGATGTTAGCTTGACTAGGAATAGGGGGAAACACACAGAGATCGCTGCTGTTGCTATTGCAAATGCGACTAGATATGGGATGACTAATGCCAAAGCCTGACCTTTCTTTCCCTTCTCCACTGAAACTTCAAGAGTGCCAAACTGAAAGGCGATTTTTAACAATTCAACTTCAAGGTGAAAGGCAATTAAGAGACTCCCCCCCCCCCTGTTTGGATCAAACGCGCAATTAACTGAAAGAAGGATGCCTTGGAATGCGCAAAAAAGGGAGCACACGGTATGCATTTATACATTTGTATGGCAAGGGACAAATGATGTAGGCTGGAGAAAAGAAGTAATGCTGGTAGCATCAAGGGAAATAGGCTTACCAAAGCTGAGGCTATTTTCCTCCCCAGGCCCCCTCCCCTCCCCCCTAGGTTTGCTAGTGTTTTCAACGACTCGCTAGGGACAGCTTTCCTTGGAAGAACTCTAAAGCATCGAGAAGATGAACCTCGATTGAAGGTAAATTACCAGAGCTAGTGACCGGGTATGTTGGAAACAGAGAAGGCAGAAGTAGTCTATTTACGGAGTGTGGAGCTAGCCTGTCTCACTGCTACTGCTACGGGTACTCCAAAACTGCCTTCCCAAAACATCTAACCTTTGAAGACTACAGAAGGTGCATAAGGATCGAAGATGTGATGACAAAGTGGTAAGATGGATGATAACTTGAGCTGATGCTCAAAATCATGTTCCTTACCATTTTGCGGTAATTACTGTTAAAGAAAAGTCGTGCGTCCCAAAAACGATGGTTAGCAAATGTGGGATCTCCTTAATATGAGGAGGATAACAACACAAGTTGTGAAGTTTTTAAGCGGCAGTGGAATTAGTCAGCTTGGTAGTGCAGGGTTTTGGTGCTATACCCGACCAATACAACAGCTGGATGGTTGTAGTGGTCAAGATTCCTCTGAGGCTGGAAACAGGGAAATTACAATGCGGCTAAAGTACATTGTGCCCAGTTGATATGATACTGTGAAAGAGGCAAAGGAAAACAAACATCCACCCACTTCACATCCTTTACCAGACACCAAACAATTTTCAATAATACGGGAAAAAAGTGGAACGCCAAGAAGACAGAAGAAAAGTAATACAATTTTGATAAAGCTGCTCCGAAAAATCGTCATTTATAGTAAGTCTTTTTAAAAAAATAAATTACCTTGCAAAGTCTGACCGAAGCTGCTTAGAAAAAATTCAGTTAATATTCAGCCAAATTTCCGAGTTAACGAAGAGTCTATCTGTAGGGCGTTCAAAGCCTTTAACACCCGAAACGCACTTTTCTGATAAGGCATCGTCACTAAAGCCGTTTTATAGCAGTAGATATCAAGGGAGGGAAAAGGGGGACGAATTACACGTAAAAATACGCTCTTATTTGCAAAAGAAGTGGATCAGCTAGGGAATATTAAAATGGACCTTTATTTTAAGTCCTTTTTGACCGCATAAAGGGAACGGCAGGCTAACCCGAAAACGCTGTTGTCGACGCAGATAAAAGGCTGCTGGCGTCTTTATTGTTCACCAACCCTTGGTCAAAGCAGACGGGTAACCGGTTTTGGGCACATTTCTTTAAGAAACTACACATCTCAAAACAACCAAGTGCGATGGAGCACCGTCACCAAGGCTGCTTTACGATACCCAAAAACAGTGTGGAGGAAGCGAAACCAAGTAACGGAACAGATTCTGGAGCAAGATACGAGGAGCGTTTAAATTAAACCGAGAATTATAAAATTACACGTAAAAAGGCATGTTGCATGTAGAAATAAGCGGCAAATTTCACACACCGTTAATCAAAGTGGAAAGATACAAGGGTAGTGCGTGCATGTGCATGTATGTGATGATAATTCCCTGCCAACAGAAGCACTGAACCCGAACTGGCGGATATTTTATTCGTGCAGAAGACTACAAGCAAAGCTGTACAGTGTTAGAACTCTGAGTTGCTCAACCCTAGTAAGAGATTTAAGTGGGTGTTGTAAGTTCCAAAAATTTCTGTCAATGGTAATCCGGATGGTAATAATTCCCCAATCACCACCACAGCAATCATACCTATTCAGACCATGGAGCGCTTAATCTTGTGCATAGCCTAAAAGTAAATTCACAAGAGAACAATCTTTCTAGGAAAACAGTGAATAAGACCATTCTCGAATGATTTTTGGCTTGAAGTCAGTATACATTTTCGAGCACCGCAAAGAAGTGCAGCTAAAGAAACGTCTTAGGAAGGCTGAAATTTTCTGCATCGCATCACTACATGCGACAAGACCAGAATTCATCATTTTCTTTCGGGAACAAAACATGTATCAGAGTAAAAGAAACACATCGACCGACCACCGATGATGAAGTGAAGCAGTCTGCCCTATGAATGGCTCGGTTGCACAAACCAATCTTTCTATGCCAAAATCTTGGAAGAGGTAATTAAACTATGGGATAGTTTTACAGATGTTAGTGGAAGAAATGAGGAAAATGTGATTTTAATTTTCTTAAGCTTGTTCTTTTCCTCCATAAACTCAAAACATCCAAGCTACAACTTTTAATTACCCAAAAGGGGACGGAGAGAGAAAGCTAGACTCACTTGAAGGGAGGATATTTTCAGCTCCAGTGAAGGGGTGTTGCTGTTGCGCGTGTAGACCCACAGGGGGAGGCAGAGGACGAGTAGCCGAAGCGGAGATAGCAGTAGCGGAGGTGGTGGCGGTGGGCGTTGTGCCGTCTGCAATCCGCAGATTTGACAACTTCGTGACGGGCGTGGGGTCGGACATTTTGTGAAAGACATCGGCGTTCTCCAAAAACTGGTGCTGCTGCTGCTAAGAGTCAAGTGGCAGGAGAATTAGTGAAGCCCAAGCTACACAGCGTCTGTATGTTTATTAGTAAGGCACAAGAAAAATGACATTCTAAGAAAACGTCCACCCTCTCCGAATTTTGATTGCCCACTTTCTAAAAAAGTTCACATTCCCCAGCAAGTAAGCCATTACCTTCGTGTCAGTTTTGTTGAGCAAAGGCGTGTGCTTTGATCAGAAGAAAACAAAATGCCCAACGGCAATATCTTGACTACGTATGTAGGTACATGCATGTGCAAGGAAGCGTGTCTGGAACAAAGGAAAGAAAACGGTGAACGGTGAGTCACCTCAGTAGCAGTGACCAGTCCGCACGCCAATAGCAGTAGCAGTGGAAATGCACAGTTCAGGAGATCACGGGCAACCCTCTTACCAACAAAACCCTTTTTTATTTTAAAGATCCTAGCTCGACAGCTAATTATGGGTCTACTCCATAGGAAGTGTGAAATCAAGAGAAAATCCAAGCTCTATCCACCAAATCTGTTAGCAGCGACACATGCGTGAAGCCCAAATTTTCTTCTGTAAGCCATGCGTCAAAAGCATATGACAATCGTTCTTTACTAGTCTATGAAAAATAGTCGTGCAAGGTCCTGTCCCAAACAGATAGGTTGAAAATGAAACAAAAAAGTAGATATGGAATGTTCGCCTGGTCCAAAAAATGTAAAGATATATTTCGCTTTTCGAAACAGCACTTGAATTGGAATAAACACCAGACTATGATGTTGGGCTCTGAGACAGACCGTAGTAGAGAAAGTGTTAAGAGTTAATGCGATTAACTCCACCGTAGTTGGCGATGAAATCAAGTGGAATGAAAGTGAACATACGGAAAGAGGATTTAAAGCTTGAGGGCATCGTTGGGAGGATGTGTCCAAACTTGCTTCCGATTCACTTTCGCCTGCAAAAGGAAGAAAGGAAGGAGTGAACCAGGTTTTGGAGGTGCAAAGATACCAATCACATCCAACGGGCAGTGCTTACTTCGAGCGTGAGAGGGACCAGGCTCGGGGATGCAAGTGTTTTGCTGACGCCGTTTGCTTGGACGGAGGGACTCTAGGCAGATGAGGGGCTCCTTTTGAAGGGCTTCCTTAACTGCTTCTTCGCGAATTTCTGGCGGAAATTGAAATCAGAAAACGAAACACCTCCACTTTGTGTTACACACTCAAGCGTATTAATCGTGCACTGAACAATAGGCGTTCAACAGAGACTATTTATCGCAACAGCTCCACAAAGAGGGGATTGATGGATTGATTGATTGACTTAATGCCAACATAACCGCTGAGATTGAAAATAACCTGCGTTCAGGAGAGACAGCTGCAAAATAAGGAGCTTCAAAAGTAACCAATTTCATGATTTTGAATTAATTTGACAGAGCAACCATTACATTACGCTTTGAAGTAACTGACAATAGGACACAAAATCGGATATCGATCAGGGAGACTGATAGGGTTTTATTCCACAAACCACTGCAACTGACAGTCCCATAAATGATGCATTTCTTACTTCTTCAAGTCAAAATAGAAACAAGTGACGATGTAGATAGATAGTATGTTGATGACAGTGGCGTATTAACAGCGCAATTATGCTAATCAAAGGCTCCTAGAGTCACCAATTAATCGGTCGACTATGGATCACTGTCGGGACAGCAGGGAAGCAGAAAACGCTACGATGAAGGAGGCAAATTACCCGATCGGTAGCGAACTTCATCACGCGCGTATCGGTGGTGGGATGAACGGCGCAGAAGGGCGGGAGTGGCGGGGTCAGCGACAGGGGAGTCGGGTCGACTGCCGGCTGGGGGCAGGTGAGGGTTTGAGGTGTGTACGAAGCCCGAATCCCGTGTATCTAGCGTGTAGCAGAGTATACGCTGATTTTTCTGGCTAACCTTAGTGGTAATAATTTACATTCTCAAAAAATTCACACAGAGATTCACCTAGGTCACGCAATGCGTGCATGGCTTGAATTGCTTTGATGGGTTAGTCTGTTAGTGTTTAATTGAGGGTTTAAAAAAGAGAAGCTATCGGAATTATAGACAAATATACGTACGAAATTATTAGATAATAAGATTATCAAATAGTAAAGTGCTGTAAATCAGTAGCACTACCGATCCTTCACAGCATAATTTAAACAAGGGCATGATTAGCAGGTGGAAAATGCGTAACTCAAGGTAAAACTCACTTTCGTAGTAATGGACACGAAATTGTTCAAGAATTTTGGCCTTCTTCTTTTGGTACCCCTTTTCAGTTATGTCACCTATTTGGAGGAGAGAGGCAGATAAAGCCAAAAAAGTGAATCAAAGATTCTGTGCAAGACATCAGAGTACCTTGAAAAGTTGACTGAACATGAAAATGCATTAACTGAAATTTTTCCAGGATTAATAGGTCTGTTAAAACCTGTCAGGTGGAAAAGAACAAGAAAAAAAAAAAATACGCAAATGCACCAACAAAAGAGCAGAAACATACTGAGACATTAAAACGCTGCAAAAATATAAGCGAGTATGCGGCCCAAGTAACAAATCAGTTTGATAAAAGCGCCAACGTTTAATTATGGTCTTGAATTTATGCGACAGCAAGGATGAGTTGCTTTTTGAGTTACAACAGTTGTGAATTAGCAAAACATTGCCATAGAACCCACTATTACGAACATTCTGCTAACACATCACCAGAAAACCCTAAGTGGGAAGCGCATAGAGTAACCAGAAGAGTAAAATACAAAGACGAGGATCAGCTGATAGAGACTTCATAGAACTAACAAGTTCTAGGCGAAAAGAGGAGAAGACAATGGATGCACTTAAAGAGCGAACCTTCAACTAATTCTTTTTCTAACTCAGCCAATTTCTTCCGCAATTCAACATCCATATTCGCGAGATTTACATCTCCCATTCTTCCAATCAAAAGAAAGTCAGCGCTATTAGGAGTTCATTTATGTATCGCGGGATTGAGTATAGGCATGAAGATAAAGTAAAAGCATTGGGCGAGTAGTTTTAATAATTTTTAGCAGGCGTATGCAGAATTTATCATTCAAAAGCCATCTGATGCGTTATTTATTCTCTTAGTGCTGATCAATCTATATTTTCTATTGCGTTGCAAATAGGCTGCAGAAACGATCGCAAATTATGAATCCTCAAAACTAAAATTTGCAGATGGGCAAAAACTATTTTAAAAATTTAAAAACTGATACAAAAAATTTGATTTTAAAACAACGTAACAGGATAAGTACATCTAATTTGCTTCCAGGCTCAAATGCGAACATATTGGAATAACCAACCCAAAAAATAGAAATTTTTTATGCTAATCACTGAACTGATCCATAATATGGGATGCTTAATGGTAACGGCTCAATAAAAACTTATTAACTATGTATTCCGTAATGTCTTAACATTTAGGCATAATTTTAAAGCCCCTGTAAAGTTGTCTATTGGTTAACTTCATGTCGCAAAAGAAGGTAGCCATGATGGATGCAATTACTGACACCCAATTTCTATGTATATACATAGGCTACAAGCAAAGCGGGATTTGATTTTGTCAAGTCAAAAGCTATTATACCGAGAATTGAGACCTGTTGTTTAAATACTGCCTTTGGGATAAAAAATCTCGGCGTCCGTACTTCCCAATTAAGCATCGTTTGGACCCTTTCACCACCTCTCAGATTAATCCCATTCCAACTTAATTTATTACGCAGCTAATAGTAGGCGCAAGAATCCCCAAAATGTCTGCGGCACGCATTGCTACCAGTAGACAGCACCCTCTACTCGTCAGAACCCTCGACGTCTCGTGGTTGGGTAAATTTACGAGATCTCTTTGCGACCGATGTAGAAGAGACAACGGGAAGCTCAGGAAATGGCCTCACAGTAAGTCGCTCGTTTAAGTGCTTATCCGGCCACAAGAGCTCTAGGGTATGTGCGGATCCTATCAACACGTCAGTGTAGTGGGATTCGGTTCATGCCCATAACCTTCTAGCCCTCATGTAAGCAGATAATACATTCCAGTATGAAAGAGTAGGAATTATTGCGTCACCAAGGTTGACTTCAAGTGCAACATAGCCACCGAAATCACCATCATCCATGGAAGTGGGACCACCCACAACTACCCTAGAATTGTGCATAAATTGTCAAACTGTTTATTTTTGAAAAGCCACAATCAGTACGACTCAACACGAGCAAAAAAAGAACATATAAAAATAAGGTGCAATTCGAAGCAAGAGACATTACGCAGCAGCTGCCGGCGATGCCACCGGGACGGGCGCCTCGTTAATTGCCATTGACGCCCACGATCCGACTTGAGGAGCAAGAAGGGCCGCGGTGAATGCCTCCGTCAAGCGAATGGCAAGCTCACCGATTCCCCTCGCTCTCTCCAAATTCACGAGAATGGCTACACAAATTGAGGGCAGATGAGAGACTGAGCAGGTGGCAGCGGCGTCTTCCCGATTTGATGTCATGACGATTGGGAGACTCATGAAGAGGATGGAAGTGAAACCGACGGCTCCTCCCGTGTGGCCCACGTAGAGACGATCGGGGTGAGTAGGGAGGTTTGTCTTATCAGCCGGAGTGGTTGAACGTCTAGAGACACAGACACCTTTTACTAATGTACAGAGATTCGGCCTATCACACTGGGCGGGAATTACTCTAGCCATGACGGTAAAACCTCAACTAATAACAACGATAAAAAAGAAATTACAACATCTATTATCTTTAAGAGTAACGGGTCTACATCACTCGAATACAACTTTTATCCCATGAAAATATAACAGAACTCATAATCCAACGAGAAATAAATGGGGAAGGGGCATTGAAATATGAACAACTGAGCGTTCAAAGAATACGAATAGTTTTCTACGCAAAATATGTGGAAGCGAATCACTGGCGGTGCTTCCAAATTTACCGAGCAACAAACCAACCGAGACCGTAGAGGCCACCGGGGAGCCAATGTCCCTGAATTGTTCCACGGTTAGGACGCCAGAGGCAGTTGACGAGGGTGTCGCGGGAGACAACGGCGAGCTCCTCCATGGCTTGAAATCGTCCCATGTATATATCTATTAGGTGGTTGGCCATTTGCACAAGGTCGGGAGCCGTAGAAAGTAGCCCACCGCCCGACCACTTGCACGAATTGTCGACCCATGGTGTGTTCGCTAGACCACCGTTAGTTTTCACGCGTCGGTACGGCCTGCATGGTTTCATAAAAAAAGAAAGAAGACACGACACCACAATACTGGTGAGGATATAAGTCAGCACTCACCTTTACCATTAATTAAAGTGCAAATCATCCTATGGATAAGTGTTGCAGTAGTATGAAATTTTGAGCTATCTCAGATTATTCCATTCTTCCTACTGATTAACTGATCCAAGATCAGATTCTGTCTAGAGACGTTTTCCTAGCATGCCAATAAATTGCATTCAGTAAGAGGATCTCATCCGCAATGGTTCATCCCTTAGTAAGTAAATACCCAAGTGATGATATCATTCAAGAATGATTAACGGTACGATCCCTCAGCTGGTGGATGTCTGG